GAAAAACGGTTTGAGGATAAAACGCAAGACAACGTCAGCGACATCATCAAGGAGAAAATCGTGGCACCGAGCGCGAGCGGGAACCACTACTCGGATTTGCTACTGAACGACATGAACTTGGCGGTTTTGGGAGAGCTGTTCAACCCGGAATTAGGGGTTCTGTTACTTCCAGACGTGGACATGACGAACGAATTGGACGAAGCAAAAGGGTTGTTCGTCCAGAACCAGGACGGCAGCAGAGTCTGGATCGAAAAGGTCTTGTCGAGGGAAAGTTCCAACGGCGACTCAAAACTCGTTTTTGGCCCGGGCGCGAAGATGCTGCATATGCATTGCAAATGTGTTTGGGTCAGGAAGAATGCAAGTTTGTCATGCTCAGCTAGCATGATTCTCAAATCTGTCATGCACGTTATCCAAAAGCCTCAATGTGCTGTCATGCAAAAACGCAGTTTGTCATGCTGAATAGAGAACACCTAGCAACTCAGAGACTTGTCATGCTGGGCTGTCACTTGTGGCATCCTCATGATCCGTCGCTCTGCATCACAAGTCTCCAGACCCAGACACATTTGCGCTCGATGCTGCAGACCATCGTGCAAAAGCGCGGCGCGGCAACCAAGGGTGTGCAGGGATCCGACATTGTGACGTTTTCCGCGAAAGCACTGGCCAAATTTTACCGCGAGGATTTCCCGAAATCTTACGCCGATCGCATGGCAGCGGCGAAGCTGAAGCAAGATCTGTCAATCGTAGACGCCAACATGCCGGGGCTGCCGAAACAGATCCTGCTTTCCGAAGTCGTGCCTTTACGCGGTGGTAGTACCACCACGGGCGGCGAAAGTGGCGCCACTGCTCCAGCGGATGAGGCTCCTGAGAAGAAGAAAGCTTCTGCGGCGGCTGCTGCTGGTGCAAAAGACCGCCAGAAGGAAAGTCAAGCACCAATCGAGCAGAAGTTCTGGGTGCGAACGGAGTTTCTCCAGCTTGCCAATCAAGATTTCAAGCAAAGCGAGAAGAGAGATACTCAGGAGAAGCTGGCGGCGAGACTGCGGATGCCGCACTGGATATCAACTGTAAAAATGTCTAGGTCTGGAAGATTGTGACACTTGTCATGCACGTTTTGCATGAGCCCTGATGCCTGTGATGCATGCCCTAGCATCACAGATTTTCTGAGAGCTTCTTGATGCCTATTCCGCATGACAAATGCCCTCTCCGCGTAGCAAAAATTGCATTCCTTTTGGTACTCATGCATTACAGATTCTTCTGGAATCCAAATGCAGCATCACAAGTTGCATTCTTCCAGACCCAGACATTTTTACATTTGATACTGGATCTTGCCGGGATACCCAGACCCCCGCGCGGATTCCACCAGCGCGGCAGTAGCCACTGTGGAGGTTTATCAAATGTAAAAATGTCTGGATGTCTGGAATGTTGCTGAGTTTTTCATGCATATTTTGCATGACCAATGATTATCTGTAATGCACGACCTAGCATCACAGATTTTTAGAACCCTTCCTGATGCCTACTCCGGATGACAAATGCCCTCCCCGCGTAGCGCAAAGTAGACTCGTCTTGCTGGTCATGCATTGCAGATTTTTTCAGAGTCCAAAGTTAGCATCACAAGTTCCAACCTTCAGACCCAGACATTTTTGCACTTGATAAGATCGCGGAACCTGCAAATGGAGGAGCTAGAGCCGAGCAGTTGAACGCACAGGCACGACGCGACCAATTTGAGCAATACTTGAAGGAGCAGGCTGAGTCCGGGAACGCGGCCCGGGCGAGTATCAAATGTAAAAATGTCTGGGTCTGGAAGAGTTGGAACTTGTGATGCAAACTCTGGAACACACAAAAATTTGTGTTGCATGAGCGCCAAATAAAGCTGTCCATTTCTTGGTACGCAAGTAGGAAGTTTCTCATGCGGGACAGGCATCATGGGGCGTGCTCAGAACCTGTGATGCTTGTTTTGCCTGCATCTGACGCCATTTGCGTGATCCGAAATATGCATGACAAATCTCAAAATCTTCAGGACCCAGACATTTTTGCAATCCATAGCGAGCATGGAGCAGCAACTGATGACCACGTCTGCGAATTCTGACGGCTACTACGAAACCTTATTGAAGGATCACATTCAAGCAGGAACGGAATTCTTGACCCGAGCCGCGCAAGTCGCGATGGGACAGGGAAAAACGTCCGTAATGACGCCTTTGTTGTTGAAAATGGTGGCGAACTCGCAGCGTTTGCCCATTGTGGTGTTCGCGGATCCGCTTTACTCCACCGCGAGCCGCGATCTGCAGGAGACTCTGACGACGTTTGACATGCGGGTGTTGCCGCTGACGTTCACGTTATCCCAGAACAATCTACCACGGTTGGTCCAGATGCTGGAGGAATTAGAAACCGCACGAAAAACAGGCAAAGTCGTTTTCGCGACCAAGGCGAAGGTCGTGCAGGGCCTGTTTGCGGCGGAGGAACGGGTTTGGGAAGAGTTAAGGGAGGCGGAGTCGGCGAGGTCCTTGCTGCAATTAGTCCCGCCGAAGCGGATGGCGGCACGAATGGCCAAGTTGAAACTCGAGGAACTGAAGCGCAACACGTACGTCGTGATGAACGCAGCGGCGGCCAACGCCGCGCAGGGGAAAAAGGCAAATAGCAAACCAGGAGCGGCCACGACTACTTCAAAAATGTCCAAAAAGTTTGACGATGAAGAGGAAATCGATGAGGCACAATTGGAAGAAACCGTCGGAGAGCAATTCGCAAGATTCGAATATCCTGAGCAAAAACGTCCCCGCCCCATAGTCAGGTTGGTAAATCTGCAACACAAATCGTCAAGCTTTGGGAGTTGTGCATGACAAGTTTCCGTCTGTGTTATAGTGGTGCTTAGCAAGGCAACCCGCATGAGAGAGCCAATTTCTCATCCTGTTCACAGCATTACAGATACCAAATCACGGTTGGAAATGCCTCTCATGGGGATGCGCATTACAAAGAAATGTTCTTGTCATTACGCATTTGCATTACAACTCTGGGGTGGGGACGTCGACGTTTTTGCTGAGCATATCGAAGCGGCCAAGAAGTGCATCTTGGAATTGCGCACCCGGTTCCGCTCCGATATGAACTGCAAAAGTATCGTACTCGTATTAATCGCATGTATGCATAACAAATCTCTTTTTCAAAGTAAATCAGCATGAGAAATTCCATTTGTCATGCTGAGAAAATTTGTAATGCGACTACTACTAGTACGATACTTTTGCAGTGGATATCCGAGTCCGCGCAGCAATTTTCCGAAAACCGAGTCGACTTGATGCAGCCGGTGACTTGGTGGTCGAATTATGGATTGCAAAAATGTCTGGGCGGTCTGGATGATTGCAACTTGTCATGCTGTGTCTGGATCATGCAAAAATTTGTGTTGCATGATTACCAAAAGATGTCCGCTCTTCACCAGTTTGATAGGGAGTTTCTTATGCAGAATAGGCATGATAGACACCCCACAGCATTTGTCGCGCTAGGTGCTGCATGCCACGCCTCATGGGTCATGGAAAATCTGCATCACAAATCTTGCATTCTTCCAGACCCAGACATTTTTGCATTTGATACGAATCAGGAAAAACTGAAATCCTGGGAAGACGTAATCGATAAAGAATTGATCACCAAAGCAGCCAAGAAGGCTTGCAAGGATAACTTCTATCAAAATGAAACATCCCCCCTCCCCACATCAAAACGAAATTTGAATTTCTGATGCTGGATTTGCGTACACAAACTATCAGACTTTCTTGCAGTAGAGGATTGCAGGCCTATGTATAATAAGTCTGAGTAGGGAGGTTTCGGGCTAGGCACTAAACATGGCAAACGTCTAGTCTGTAGTGCCAACAGCATCACAAACCGCCTGCAGAATGCGGCGGAACCTGTGGAGTTACGTCCTTGCAAGACAGAGACGATTTGTGGTCACAAATCTGCATTACAAATTTTCTGAGACGCACCTTTTCGATATGGGGAGGGGGGATTTTTCCTTCCGAGAACTTCCAGCTGATTCCCACAGAGCTTGTGGAGCAAGCAGCGGATAGTGCTCATGCGGGTAACAATGGGAAGATGCAGAAACCAGGGGAAGACCGCCCCTTTGCAGAGAAAGAACAATGGCAGAGGCGGAACATGTTCGCGGACAGCAAGTGGACAAAGGAGGCACCCGAGGAAAAGAAACTTTCTCCAGAGGAGGTGTTTGGCCACGTGAAAATCGACCCGAACAAGTATACTTTGACGCGGGCGAACGCGGAAAAAATGCTGGAGCTCGCCTGGCAACACGCGTTGCATTCGAAAAAAATCGATGTCTACAGCAAAATCCGCGACATTTTCGAGCAGCACACGGTCATGATTGGAGATGAGGGTGACAACATTCTCCACAGCAGAAAACAGCTGAACTACCCACTGGGGGAAGCCATGCCGATCTCGCAGCACGGGATTGAAGTAGCGGTCTACATCTTTCACAAGGTCATGTCCGCAACCAGTTTCTTGGACCAGACCTCCGCAGGTGGCGGAAGTGGTCAGCAGAGCGGTGCCGGTGCCGCATTGGGCGGGCGGAAAATTTTGGATGACGTGATGCGAAACGCGCAGATATCCTCCGCAAAAGCATCGTACTCGTATGATTGAATGTTGCAAGTCTTGCATTACAAATCTTTTTATTAAGGCAAATCCGCATGACAAATTCCATTTCTCATGCTGAGGAAATTTGTATTGCAATCTATACTAGTACGATCCTTTTGCAATGCATAGCAGACGAAAATTGACAAGAATTTCTTGAAGAAGCAAGTGTTAGCACCGCTGGTGGATGACCTGTGCAACGAGTTCAAGAGAGTTTTCCGCGCGAGTCCAAACCCCCAGCGGACCGACATCATCACGGATGGGACGGAAAAGCACTTCCACGAGGGTTGTAAGAAATACTTGAAAAAAGCCATGCTGATGGACGACAAGAAAAAAAAGAAGGGCTCGAAGGGGGCGAAAGCCGCCAAAGGTTTAGCATCTGGAGATGGTGGTGGTGATGGTGGAGCAGGTGGTAGTCGGATCGGTACTAGCAAAGACGGAAATCCGATGGCCACCATCGCAGAAGAAGTAGTAGATGGCACCGCTGTATGAATTGCAAAAATGTCTGGGTCTGGAAGAATGCAGAAGTTTGTCATGCAGATTTTCCATGACCCATGAGGTCTGTGATGCATGCCCTAGCATCAAAGATTCTGCGAGGGCTTTCTGATGCTTATACCGCATGAGAAATGCCCTCTCCGCGTAGCACAAATTGCGCCTCTTATGCTGTTCATGCAATACAGATTTTATGTAGAGTCCAAAGGTAGCATCACAAATCCCATTCTTTCCAGACCCAGACACTTATTTGCTTTTGATACGCTGCGGACGGCAGTGAAAGTTACACTGGAGTGGCGGACACGATTGGTACGCCGGCCAATTTTATCGCAAGAAAAAACTGTTTCACTGTAAACTTGTAATGCAGAAAATGCACCCCACATCTGTTTGTCTTGCTACAAATGCAAGACAGTGGATTTTTGGCTGTGTTTTCCATTAGGAACCTTGCATGGCAAATTTTCTCTGTCATGTAGAGCAAAATTGTGATGCAAAACCTGCAAAACCCTTACAGTGAAGCGCTTTTTTCGTGCGACAAATTTCACGGCGGACCCGAAGTCACCTCCCCCTCCAACTGGGTTTCTGCAACCGACTTTGAACACAGAGGTTTTGTCGCACTTATCCGCGAGCGGCGGTAGTGTAGCTGGGTCTCGTGCGGCTTCGGTGCGGTCGAAGCGAAGTAAAAAATCGTCGGGCGGAAGTGCGCGCCAGGAGGTCAAAGCCGCAGCCGACGATGATGATGACGCTGCTTCCTCGGATATCCTGAGTAAAAACGTCCCTACCCCAGAGTCAGCCTGGGGATTTTGCAACACAAACCTAGAAGTTTTGGGACTCACGCATCACAAGTTGCAGCCCGTAGTATAATAGTGCAGGTTAGCAAGGACAAGCGCATCACAAATCCATCTGCTCATCCTGGTTACAGCATTACAAATTCCAAAACACGACTAGAGACGCCTCTCATCCTCGGGATGCGCATTACAAATGTTCCTGTCATTGCAAATCTGCATCACAACTCTGGGGTGGGGATGTTTTTACAAATGATATCGGGCTCCGAATCGAGGGTTGTGGAGACCGAGTCAGAAGACGAGGGAGATGATGAAGATGAAGAGGTATCAAATGTAAAAATGTCTGGATCTGGAAGAATGCAACTTGGCATGCTATTTTCGGATCCTTATCCTAAAAACATTTGTATTGCATGACCAGGAAGAAGAGCTCATTTTGTGCTACGCGGGAAGGGCATTTGTCATGCGGAATAGGCATCAGGATGCCCTCCAAAAATCTGTGATGCTAGGCCATGCTTTACAAGCATCATGGGTCATGCAAAATATGCATGACAAACGTGGCAACCTTCCAGACCCAGACACTTTTGCAATTCATAAGAGGATGACGATGACAACGAAAGCAGGGCGGGAGGGCGCGCGGCCTCCTCCCTCGGCGGTAGAAGACGACCTCGGTCTTCCGTCGGGGGCAGTTCCGTGGCCGGCCTGGATTGGCGCGTTATTGAAAGAGAGGAGCAGGAAAGAAAAGCTCGAGAAGCGGCTGGGAACAATGGCGGGGACGATCTATGCATTTTTGCAAAAGTATTGTACTAGTGTAAATTGCAATACAAATTGGCTCAGCATGATTACAAATTGAATTTGTAATGCGGATTATTTGCCTTAGCATCTATTCTAGATTCTAGATCTGTAATGCATAACTGCAATTAGTACGAGTGCCAGTCTTTTGCAATGCATAGGGTGACCCAGAGGACGATGAGGAGGAGGAAGACGAACAGGACCTCGAATCTTATGCTGAGTAAAAACGTCTCCACCCCATAGCCATACTTGTCATGCACATTTGCAGTTACAGGAAGATTTGTATTGCGCACCCCCATGAGAGGCATTTCCCATCGGGTGTTGGACTTTGTAATTCTGTAAACAGCATGACTAGATGGATTTGTGTTGCGGATGTACTTGCTAAACTGCACTACACTGCAGAAATAAGCGTGTCATGCTTGACTCCCAAAACTTCTCGATTTGTGTTGCGAGATTCCCATCTTGACTATGGGGTCGTGGGGACGTTTTTACTCAGGATAACTCTGAATCCAGTTCCGACTCTGACTCTTCTGACTATTACAATGAAAAGTGCCCCCCACCCCCAAAGTTGCAAAAATTTGTGATGCGAAGTTTCCAAATGAAAACTTTTTGTCATGCATGAAAGGAGTATGAACCTTTCTGATGCAGATTCTAGCCGTGTTTCGCATCGCTTGCATGACAAGCACCGCTCTTGCTGGGATCTTTTGCAATACAAATTTTTGCTATTCACGATCGGAAATCTGTGATGCTGATACACGCAAGAGGGCGAATGTTTCATTTGGAAAGGTTTGCAATACAAATGCTTTCAAGTTCGGGGTTGGGGGGCATTTTTCATTGTAATACTGACACCTTGGAAACGAGTGAAACCTCCTCCGAGCAAAATCGCGCGCAAGTCGCAACGCGCCATCGTGTCGACCTCGGCGCAGCGGGCGGAGCGGATGACGACGGGGATCGGACGAAGAAGGAGGACGCCAACAAGGCCGAGTACCTGGTGATGAAGGAATCCGCACAGGGCTTTTACAAGGTCATCTCTGACGTGAACACAAAAGACCCGCGGTTTAAGCGTATCAAATGCAAAAATGTCTGGGCCTGGAAGATTGTCATGCTAGTCTGGCATGACTCTGCACTTTGTATTGCGCGGCCACCAAGCGGTCCTCTTGCCTGTCATGCAAAAGCGCAGTTTCTCGTGCGAAATACGCATCACAGAAGCACGAAAAAACTTGTCGTGCTTGGCGGCGCATTAGAGAGCACTTATTGTTCACGGACTTGCATCACAAGTTTCTAGACCCAGACATTTTTGCATTTGATAAAGCGGTTACAGGAGCAAATCGCCGTCGCGAAGGTGATTTTACACCCCCTGTTGCCCGACGCTTTTGACAAGGAAATCGGAAAAGACGCGGGCTGGTCGATCGAGGACGAATCCCTGGAGGCCGCGATCCCCTACAAGGCGGCAGATCAGCCGGCGGAAATGAAGGGCGAGGTCAGTTTAATCAAGGATCAGTGGGAGTGTTTGATGAAAACGATTATGACCAAAATGCACATGCCCGCGTGGTCCGACAAGCACAAAATCCAGGCCCAGAATCCTGGCAGCGTGTCCGATTCCGGATCAGGTGGCGCAGCACACCAGCAACGGGGCGTGAACAGCCGAACGAGAGCTATCAACCAAGCGAGGCGCATGCTTATCAACTGCAAAAATGTCTGGGTCTGGAAGATTGCCAGGTTTGTCATGCATATTTTGAATGACCCACGATGTCAGTGATGCATGCCCGAGCATCACAGGTTTTTAGAGAACTACTTTGCGATTCCTCTACCGCATGAGAAATGCCCTCTCCACGTAGCACAAACTGGAGTCCTTTTGCTGCTCATGCAATACAAATTTTTTTAGAATCCAGAGACAGCATTACAAGTTTAGAATCTTCCCGACCCAGACATTTTTCCATTTGATAATGCTGGAATTGATGCAAGAGGAATTGTTCGAGCCACAAAGATATCCTGTGCAAAAGTATCGTACTCGTAGTAATTGCAGTCATGCATTACAAATTTTAATTTTTCCAAAGGTAAATCCGCATGACAAATTTTATTGCTCATGCTGAGGAAGTTTGTCATGCATTTATACGAGTGCGATACTTTTGCAATGCATAAAAGACTGAAATCCGACGGCGCTACGTCCGCGGCCGACGAATTCAGGTTATTCATCAAGGTGCCGGATGACTATCCAATGCAAATATGTTGTCTGGGTCTGGGAGATTGCGGGACTTGTCATGCTAGTCCAGCATGATTCTGAATTCTGTATTGCGTGGCCGCGAAGAGCTCCTCTTTCCGGTCATGCAAAAACCCGCAAGTTTCTCATGCGGAGTAAACAACTCAGGACCACGGAAAAACTTGTCATGCTGGGCAGCGCATTAGTACAGTGCGCTTGCTATTCCCTTCCTTGCATCACAAGATTCCAGACTCCCAGACATTTTTGCAATGCATAATGACCACCCGGAGACGATTTTGAAATACAACGCGATCGACGCGGGCGCGGATGTGAGCAGCGACACCAGGTTTTTCTTCGTCCACGAATTAAAGCAGGAGTTGGAGGAAAACGGGAACGAAAATATGGCGTTCTCAAACGTTACATTCTCAACTGTTACATGAAATTTGTAATGCAAGAACGACAAAAGTGAAAGGAAAAACGTTGCGCCTTTTGCATTACAGGTTTGGAGCAGATTATAATGCTATCTAGCGCGTCGAGAAGTTGTCATGCGGAGAAGGCTTGATCGTATTAAGAGTGACAGTGTTTTTGCATGACAAATCATGTAACAGTTGAGAATGTAACATTTGAGAGCGCCATAGAAAACTGGTCGGCACTTGGCAAGTTGATCGTCGATCACATGAAGCAGGGCCTCATGTCCGAGGAAGAGGAAGAACAAGAAAACGCCGGGTTTGTGGATAGTAGCGGCGCTTCTGCCGCGATGACGGTAAGCAGTGGGTTTTCCGAAAAAACGATTGAGGTTTTCGCGGCGTTTATGCAGTACCTGCAGGAGCACAAGTTGTACCGAAAGCGGCTCTGCTTCGCGCAGCTGAATTTGTATCGTAAGGAAAAATCCCCCCTTTCCATACCAAAGCGGGATACTTCTGAAAATTTGTGATGCTGATTTGTGGCCACAAATCGTCCCTGTATTGCAAGAAGGCAAATCAAAAAGCCCCGCCGCATTCTGCAGGCAATTTGTAATGCTGTGCGGCCTATAGAGGACGCGCCTGCCTTCCTAGGTGCCTACACCAAAGCGCCCCTACTCAGGTCCTGCATCTGCCTGCAGTCCTCTTCTGCAAGACAAAGCAGATTTGTGTAAACAAATTCCGCATCACAGATTTCCATTTTGATATGGGGAGGGGGGATTTTTCCATTTGATAATTTGTGGTATTTAACGAAGAAAGTCTTCCCGGACCCCCTGCAAATCCGCCGGTACGCGGGTCAAGTCACTTCGGGGCCGATGGAACTCGGGTTTGCGAGTAAGTACTTCCCGTATGGGATTCTCAAATGTTACATTCTCATGTGTTACATGATTTGTCATGCAAATTTGCCACCAAGATCGCCACTATTAAGCTGCTTCGCATGACAAATCTCCGAAGGGCCTAAACAGCATGTAAATCTGTGCCAAATCTGTAATGCAAGAGGCGCAAGCTTCCCCCATTCATTTTTGCCGTTCTTGCATTACAAATTCATGTAACAGTTGAGAATGTAACATTTGAGAACGCCATATCCCGGTTTGGTCGGGTACGACGGAAAACTGGGCGACGTGGCAGTACGTATCAAATACAAATTCATTTAGGTCTGGAGGAAAGTTGCAAGACTTGTCATGCAGATTTTCTATGACCAGTGAGGGCAGGTTAGCAGGACCTAGCATGACAGATTCTTTGAGGTCGTAGTCTCTATCATGCCTATACTGCATGGGAAACTTCTCCCTCCCAACCCGGCCAGTGAAAGAGGACTGACAGCTTTTGGTATCCATGCAAGACAGATTTGTGCATGATTCCGATTTAGCATGACAAGTTGCAATCTTCCAGACATGCAAAAATATTTGCAATGCATAGTACCGGTGGCAGCACAAATTGACGAAGACGTATCAGAAGGCGGTGGTCTACCCCTCGGATACGAACCCGGCGGAGAACGTGAGACGGAGGTTGCTGAATGAGGAGAAAACGATGGTGATTACCTACGACGAATCCCAATCCTGGAAGCGTGATTCCAGCATTCCCGCCGCTGACATGATGAAACCCGAGAACAGCTTTCAGAACCCGGTGGACTACTTCGACATCATTTACGAAGATTTCAAAAAACAGGCGGAGGCGCAGGCCATCCACAAACCGCGCGTTTTATGCATTGCAAAAATGTATGGGTCTGGAACATTCTAAACTTGTAATGCTGTCTTTGGATTCCAAAAAAATCTGTATTGCATGATCAGCAACAGGACTCCAGTTTGTGTTAAGTACGTGGAGAGGGCATTTCTCATGCGGAATAGGGATTAGGAAGCCCTCTAAAAATCTGTGTTGCTAGATCATGCATTAGAGGCATCAATCATCATACAAAATATGCACGACAAGTCTGCATTCTTCCAGACCCAGACACTTTTGCAGTTGATACGTGTCCGCGTTTATCGACGTGGGCGCGTTGTTCAAGGGGCAGTTGAAGCGGGTGGTCGCCTGTGGCATGTTGTACTACGTATGCATTGCAAATATGTCTGGGTCTGGAACATTCTAAACTTGTGATGCTGTCTCTGGATTCTGAAAAAATTTGTATTGCATGACCAGCAAGAGGACTCCAGTTTGTGCTACGCGGAGAGGGCATTTGCCATGCGGTGACAGTATCGCAACCGCTCTAAAAATCAGTGATGCTACGGCATGCATCACAGACATCATGGGTCATGGAAGACCTGCATGACAATTTTTTGCATTCTTCCAGACACAGACACTTTTGCAATCCATACTATGCGCACAAAAACGAAAGAGAGCGGATTTACATCGCGTTCTGGGAAGATCTCGACGCCGAGACGACCGCGATCTTTCTCTACCATCACGCGGAATTGTTCCGGGGGTTACGTGAATACAACGCTGAGAATGGCGTCCCAAATCACCCGCATCATATGCATTGCAAATCTGCCTGGGTCTGCAAGGATGCGAACCTGTGATGCGCATTTCAGAACACAGAAAAATCTCTCATGCAAAGATAGCAAAAGCTGCCCACTTTCTGTCACCAAAATGGGAGATTTGTCATGCGGATTAAGCAATGCGGAAGCTTCTCGAAATCTGTGACGCTAGGGCTTCCATGACAGACATTTTGTGTCATGCAAAAACAGCATGACAAAAATCTGCATTCTTCCAGACCCAGACACTTTTGCATTTGATACATCACGAGGTCGTGCAGCACTGTCGGCGGACGACGCAGTTCGTTATCCTGTGCAAAAGCATCGTACTCATAGTAATTGCATTCATGCATTACAAATTTTTTTCCCAAGGTAAATCCGCATGACAAATGTGATTTCTCATGCTGAGGAAATTTGTAATGCATTTATACGAGTGCGATACTTTTGCAATGCATAGTCGTCAGCCCTCGGCAATTGCAGAATGGGAAACACGAATCGTTCAAGCAAGCAACGCCAGAGAAGTCGGTGGATGAGCTGAAAGGCAAGCTGTTCACATGGTTCGACCAACCGCGCACATTCGGATCTGACGTCCCCCGCGATGATGATTCCTGGGCCTTCCAGTCCGCTTCGGAGCGAACGAAGAAGGACCAGCAGGCGCAGGGCTCTGCGCGGATGCGGGGTCTTCCGTACGGGAAGCAGCACATCGCATTCGTGTTGGAGAAACGCACGGCGGACCTGTTCTTGAACTTCCGCCGGAATTGGTTCTACCCGGTGCATTCGCACGACAAAGTTCTGATAGACGTGCCCGTGAATCCTGAGGCGACACATGCCAACCCAACCGAACAGAAACAGAGGGTAAAAGGCATCGTCTTGGAGATGGACGGCGATGCTGCCTTGCAGGAGAAGGTCAAAAAGAACGAGCTGGAGCAGGACGACGAGGAGATTATGAAGAAGACCTGGAGGGTTTGCGCCCTGCTCTCGGAAACGATGCGGGTCAAGGCGGACTACGAGAAAAAAGGAGATCTGGACAGTGTCCGCTTGTTTTTCACGGAGCGAGAAGGGGACCGAAATAGCTGGAGACAAGCAAATGTGAAGGAAGTAAAGAAGCTTGCCTTCGGCCGGGACGGCTTATCGCTCACGCACGCACCCGGGCCCGGTATCAAGGTGGACTGCAACCCGGGGTTCCGAGTCACTGGAAAAACGACAGAAGAGCTGGGGAAACTGGAAGTCAACGAAAGTTTGAAATCGCGGCTAAACGGTGAACTACCCATCACCGACCCGCAAACCCGGTTCGTCTTCTACAGCACGAGTAAAATCCCCCACTTCTGGCAGCGAAAGGTGCAGAAGCAGGACGTGTTGGCCCATGCCTGGTCTGTGCAGGAGGGCACGGAGCGTAAGGACTACGCGGACGCCTTAACGATGCAGATCCGGTCCACCGTGAAGCGGGCGCTGCGCTACTGGAGATCTTTGCTCAACTTTAATTCCGCGGTTTTCAGTGCGTCCGGTGACCTCATTTCCGGCGCGGCGCCGCAAACCGAGTTCAAATACGGTGACATTGCGGTGTTGCGAGAGCTCCCGGAACCCAGGCGGTCGAATCGCCGGACGAACGCGGAGAACAACGATTTGCAGCAGCTCTACGATATCCCAGAGAAAAAAGCTGGCAGGGCATATTTGTAATGCAAAAATAAATACGCAGAAAGATTTGCCATGGGCGGCCCCATAGCATGCTGCTTCGGATATGCAATGCAGATTTTTTTGTGTATTTATCTTTGCATCTACAAATATGCCCGGCCAGCTTTTTTCTGTGTGATGTACGAGTCTTTCAAAACGAAGCTGGTCATCCTCGGGAAGCCGAAATCGACACAGGCCGGAATGAACCACCGGGCGGACAAGTTGATTGCAGAAGATTCGACGACAGAGAATCGAAATATGTGGCAGGACAAAATGAACGAAGAACAGCAGCTGGAGGAGAAGCTTCTGTACAGGAAGGACAACGGAAAGATTTGGGTCCGCGCTTTCGACAACGAGCAGAACGTAATCGACGTAAAACCGCAAAACATCGTGTTGAAATCCGGTTATTACCCGAAACACGTGGTCAGTAAAAGAACAAGAGAGTTGGCGAAAACTCAACTCTCCTTCGGCGAGCACGAGCAGGTGCCGCACGTGACCCGCGAAGCGTATGAGGAACAGGCCTTGGAGGTGAAGACTAGGGTCAAGGTTCTGAACGTGGAAAGATTTGGGCTGGAGAAAAAGAACAAAGGCGGTGGCTTGGCAGGTGCGTACAATGGCGGTTTCGTGCCTGATAAAGAGATATCAAATGTAAAAAGAAGAGTGCGCGATTTGTCATGCAGCTTTTGCATGACCCATGAGGTCTGGAATGCAGGACCTAGCATGACAGATTCTGTGCGACCTCTCACTCTCTCATGCTTATCCTGCATGAGAAAGTCCCGCCCGATTTGGTCAAAACTGCACGACTTTTGGTACTCATGCAACACAGATTTTTGCATGCTTCAGATTTAGCATGACAAGCTGCATTCTTCCAGACCCAGACACTTTTACATTTGATAAGAGACAACCGGGGATATGATGGGCGTGATCGAAGCGAACGATGTTATCCTGTGCAAAAGTATCGTACTCGTATTGCAATCATGCATTACAAATTTTTTTCTCAAGGCAAATCCGCATTACACATTTTATTTCTCATGCTGAGGGAATTTGTAATGCATTTATACGAGTGCGATACTTTTGCAGTTCATAGATGTGGAAGACCCGCGGAACGAGAAGCGGAAAATTATGTACCGCATTAAACTCGACGGGGGTGATTTCCGAATCACAAAAGCCGTCCGTGACGAGGACATTCGAGTGACACAGAAGCGAGCCGCAGCTGCGGCCGCAGGTCAGCGGGCGACCAGCCCCAGCAGCCCCATGGGAGCGCGTGGCGGTGCCAACGCCGCGCATTTGAGGTACGCGTTTGTCGTCGGCCGGGTGCGGGGCACCGGGAAATATGGCGCTCTCAACTGTTACATTCTCAACTGTTACATGATTTGTCATGCAAAATTGCCTTGACTATCAACGCCATCAAGCTGCTTTGCATGACAAATGCTCAGACGGCCAAACAGGCTGGGAATCTGTGCCAAATCTGTCATGCAAGACGCGCAAGGCCCTTCCTTTCACTTTTGCCATTCTTGCATTACAAATCGTGTAACAGATGAGAATGTAACATTTGAGAACGCCATACGAAAGAAGAGCTGGATGGAAAATTGGTGATTTTAAAATCCATCTCCCGGACGAAATGGGACAAGTTCAAATTTGTTGTGGAGGAGGAGACTGGAAATAACTTCAACCAGGTGCATATGCAAGAAAAAAACTGTGTAAATGTACCTTTGTAGGCAGAGCAGCATCGCAAATTTGTTTTGCGTTACAGGGAAAACCTGCCATGCGCAGCTAGTACGTGAAAACACGGATGATGATAGCCTACGACGCACATCCAGCATGACAAGTGTAACAATTTTGCATTTTCTGCATTACAGACTTACACTCACATAGTTTTTTTCTTGCATAGTGCAGGTGAAATTGGTCGTCCCGGCGGACGGACCCTATCAGGACACGCACTTCTCTGTCCACCCGGAGAACCTCGAATTCCCAGCAGCGTGGCGACAAGTCGACGCGAGCAAAGTGAGGAAGATGAAGAAGGAAAAGAGCGAAGGAACAGCCAAAGAGCCCCCCCAAATGTTGTACCGGATCATGCCACCGCAATCCAACAAGAATACTAATCCCAGTTTCGTTTTCATCCCGGATGTTCTCCCGGAAATGGAGTATAATATGAGTTGCAACGAGCACAGCGTCTTTAAAGTCGCCGACGGCAGCTGTGTGGGGAATGGGCAGCAGGTGAAAAAGACGCTAGAGGAGCCCTATGCATCGCAAATACGTCTGGGTCTGGAACAATGCGAGATTTAATATCATGCTAGTCTTGCATGACTGAAGAGTTTGTGATGCGTGTCCAAGAAGAGACCCTTTCTCTTGTCATGCAAAAACGCAGTTTGTGACTCGGGACGCGCAACACTAATCCACGCAAATATTTCTCATGCTTGGCTGTGCATTGCAGGGCATCCTTTCCTCATCCTCACGTATCCTGTGCAAAAGTATCGTACTCGTATTGCAGTCATGCATTACAAATCTTTTTGTTAAGTCAAATCCGCATTACAAATTTTATTTCTCATGCTGAGGAAATTTGTGATGCATTTATATATACGAGTACGATACTTTTGCAGTGCATATCACGACTAGACATTACAAGTTTCCAGACGCAGACATATTTGCATTCGATAAGCCCTCGAGATGGACAACATTCCCGGAATTCAATCCGGGCCACTACGTCCGACTGCGAAAAAGCTTCTACCACGAGCTACCATCTGTAAAAATGTCTGGGTCTGGAAGAATGCAACTTGTGATGCTGCATTTGGATTCCAAAAACATTTGCATTGCAGAAGTAGCAAAGGGAGTGCTCCTTTTGCTACGCGGAGAGGGAATTTGTAATGCGGAATAGGCATCAAGAAGCTCTCAAAAAATCTGTGATGCTAGGGCATGCATCACAGACGTCAGGGCTCATGCAACACGTGCATGACAAGTGTCAGAATCTTCCAGACCCAGACATATTTGCAATCCATACGAGCAGAGGACAGACGATCCGAACATGCGGTACGCAGTGGGTCAGTTGTTGAAGATTCACTCCGTCGAGAGGCCAAATTTGTCGGCGAATCGGTTCGACGAGTCGCCGCTGCTCAAGTACAGGTTGGAACGCGTGGCGGAGCCGTACAATCCGAGCGGTAACCCGGTAAACGTGCTGGATCAGCGGAACGTTCCCGGTCCGACGACCATCGCGAGGAAGAGTTCCGACTTCATATCCGGTGCAGAAGTATCGTACTCGTATTGCAATCATGCATTATAGATCTTTTTCTTAACCTTAATCAGCATTACAAAGTTTATTTGTCATGCTGAGGAAATTTGTGATGCATTTTTTATACGAGTGCGATACTTTTGCAGTTCATACTTCATTCTCGTGGACAAAACGTTAGACTACCCACAGACCAAGTTCGCTCCCGGCGATATTGTGGTACTGTGAGGAAAAATCCCCCCTCCCCATATTGAAAAGGTATGTTCCTAAAAATTTGTGATGCTGATTTGTGACCACAAATCCTGTCTCTCTTGCAAGACGGCAAATCCAAAGAATCCGCCGCCTTATGGAGGCGGTTTGTGATGCTGTTTCACCAACATGGCAGGCCTCTGCTTTGCTAAGCGCCTACAACAAAACACCCCATACGCAGGCTAGAGCTTTGCCTGTAGTGCCTCACAGCAAGACAGGGCTGATGTGTGTACACAAATCCAGCAACAGAAGTTTCCCGTTCAATATGGGGAGGGGGGATTTTTCACTTTGATATGTGGTGTTGGAAAACTTAACCCGGGAGAACAGCAAGTATTGCATATGAGAGTGCACAGCTCACCCTCCCCTTCATTTGTCATGCAAAACCCCAAATCCAAGTGCTTCCCTGTGGCACTGTTTGCATGACAGATTCCGGAAACCCAAACAGTACTACTTACACTAGGCGCATCAACTTGTCATGTACAAGCTCCTCTTGTGCTGGTGTTTGTATTGCTGGGCATGCAATACAACAAATAAGGGGGAGGGGGAGTTGTGCACTCTCATACTGCAACGGGCAGTTGGCGAAAGTGATCAAGTACGAGCACGACCCGTTTGTTCAGGAGGAAAACAGCTGGGGACCGATATCAACTGCAAATATGTCTGGGTCTGGAAGAATGCAAGTTTGTCATGCTAAATCTGAATCATGCAAAAATCTGTGTTGCATGATTACCACAAGTCGTCCAGTCTTGACCAAGTCGGGAGGGAGTTTCTCATGCAGGATAGGCACGATAGAGATCGCACAGAATCTGTCATGCTAGGTTCTGCATTCCAGACCTCGTGGGTCATGGAAAAGCTGCATGACAAGCTTGCATCCTTCCAGACCCAGACACTTTTGCATTTGATAACTGCGGTATTTGGTCGAAATGCTCAAGGCCTGCAACGGATGCGAGACCAAGCAGAGCGAAGATGGAGATGATAGTGCAACTGCTAGTGGGCCGCGCAGGATCAGGAACCGGCTCTGGTCAGCCACGGCGAGCGCAGCCGGGAAGGTGGTGAATCGAGTCATGAACGTTTATTCGGCTCTCCGGTATGGAAGCAAGCGGCGGCATTACGTGCCGACGGAGAACCTCCGCCTGTACGTCCCGGAGGACGCGAGGCTGGGCAGCAAGGAGTTGACAGCCCACCAGGAGGAGTCGTTCGCTATCAAAAGGAAAAATCCCCCCTCCCCATATCAAAACGAAATTTCTGATGCTGGATTTGAGTACACAAATCGACTTGTAATGCTCGAAGGCCAAGAGCCGCAGTTGTGGCCTCGTTTGCAGGCAATTTGTCATGCTGTTTCCCACTTCGAGTTGCTTCCTGTCATGCTAAAGATGCAAGGCTTCCCCACGCCACCCAGCACTACAGTCCGCATCTTTTCCCTTCTAGCATGGCAAAGCTGATTTGTGGCCACAAATCTGCATCACAAGTTTCTAGTTTGAGTAAGGGGCGGGGGAATTTTTCACTTTGATATTCGCGGCGCAGTCCTTCCACAACGCGTGCAGGGACTTGCTGTTGACGTTGGAAGATGGGAATCTCTGGAAGCAGATGGCGCAGGTGCAGGACCGGATTGACCCGGTTTTGATGATCGACCGATTCGCTTTTCGGATCATGAAGGAAGTGAATTGGCGATTCACCACGATGATCCCCCTGGAGTTGAGAAACTCGTTGCAAAAAGCGCTGGAGCAAGTGGTGAAGCGCGCATCGATCTACGCCACTGAGTCCTTCCGTGCTCTGCCGAGCACGGTGGTGGCAGCTAGCTCTGGGGAGCAGAAGTCGGGCACGGAAGATGCGGACGCGGAGGTGCAGTTGCAGTTGGAAGTGCACTTGGAAGTGGCTGCGGAATTGAATTTAGATGTCGAGCAGGACATGCGGCTGTATTGCAAGGAAAAATCCCCCCTCCCTATACTGAAAACATGTCCTTCCGAAAATTTGTGATGCAGATTTGTGGCCACGAATTCTGTCTGTCTTGACAGAAGGCAACTCCAGAGAGTCGGCCCCGATATGCAGGCGGTTTGTAATGCTGCAAGGCCTACAGGGCAGACGTCTGCCATGCTAGGCCCCTACACCAAAAGGCCCCCCCTTAGGCTTGCCATTTGCGTGCAGTGCTTTCCTGCAAGACAAATGTGATTTGCGTACACACATCCCGCATCACAGATTTCCGTTTTGATATGGGAAGGGGGGACTTTTCATTTTGATAGGCTGGTAACGGAAACCGCGCCGGAGGACATGGAAAAAGATCTCGGGTTCGGCCTGCCGGAACTGAATAAGCGGGAAAGAGAATATGTGGAGAAGGTAGAAAAGAGTATTGTGTAAATTATGCATTGCAAATATGTCTGGGTCTGGAAGAAGACAAACTTGTGATGCGCATTTCAGAACACAGAAAAATCTCTCATGCATAGGTAGCAAAAGCTGCTCACTTTCTGTCACCAAAGTGGCAGATTTGTCATGCGGATTCGGCATTGCGGAAGCTTCTCGAGACCTGTGATGCTAGAGCTTCCATTCCAGGCCTTGTGTGTCATGCAAAAACAGCAAGACTCTTCCAGATCCAGACCCAGACACTGACACTTTTACATTTGATATAAATCGATATTAACGGATTCTCTTGTTTGAAGAGCAGTTTGAGCAAATACACCGTTTCAAGATCAAGAGAGCGCAGCAGTACAACTGGCATGATGACAAAAAATTAGGTACAATGCAGCTTCGCGAATAAGTTAGTAAATTATTCGCATGCAGCAGAGAAGTAGAGAATTGTATTCTATCTCCAACAACATCTCCAACGCCACAAAATTGTCAACTACAGGTCTCCCAATGCACCACCCTCCTCGCGAACGAATCGCTCACCGCCCCGAAGGGCCCGGGCCAGATCGCTGGGGTCGAATGTGTTCCGAGAGACAATAACGCCTCGGAAGCGAGCCGCAGGCGAAACGAAACGCCAATGCAAAAGCCGATGAGTCAGACGTTTGGTTTATCCTGAGCGAAAACGTCCCCACCCCAGAGTTGTCATGCAGATTTGCAATGACAGGAACATTTGTAATGCGCATCTACATGAGAGGCATTTCCAATCGTGTTTTGGCATTTGTAATGCTGCAAACAGGATGAGGAGATGGGTTTGTGATGCGACTGTCCTTGCTAACCTGCACTACACTACAAAGACGAACTTGTCATGCGTGGCTCCCAAAACTTCTGGATTTGTGTTGCTAAGTTCCCAACTTGACTATGGGGTGGGGACGTTTTTACACAGGATATGGCTCCGACACTTTTGTCCCGTGGTGGGGCGCCATGGACCAGCAGACGCATGACTCGACGAAAATGTTGACGTTATGCATTGCAACTGTGTTGTCTGGGTCTGGAACACTGGAACTTGTCATGGTAAATCTGAACCATGCAAAAAATCTGTGTTGCATGATTGCCAAAAGCTATCCAGCACTTTTGACCAGATTGATGAGAGGGATTTCTCATGCAGGAGAGGCATGATAAGGAGCATCTTGTCATGGGCTATTGAGAGCCTGCATTCCAGACCTCATTGGCTATAGAAAACCCGCATGACAAGTGGTCCTGTAATCATCCGGACCCAGATGAACAAATATTTGCATTTGATAGACGTTAATGGGAGACAAATATCTGAATGTCACGTTCGATCCTCCCGGTGCCAATGGCGACCCAAAGAAGCGGCAGTTTGTGATATCCCGTGTAAAAACGTCCCCACACCCCAGAGTTGCCATGCAATTCTGCATGCCAAAAAGCTTTCTCATACGGAGCCCCATGAGAAGCATTCTCTAGTCGTGTTTTGGGATTTGTGATGCTAGGATCAGCATGCTATGCTAGGTCTGTGCAAAGCTATGCATCTGAGCTAGCTAAACAGGACCACACTACGAGGGCAAACTTGTCATGCCAAACAACCAAAGCTGTGTGATTTGTCTAGCAGGTTTCCCATCTTGACTCTGGTGTGGGGACGTTTTTGCTCAGGATATGTGAGGAAAGCGAGTCACCTGCAGTACGTCACGCCCTCGGATATCGGGCGAGCGTTCCGCCTCTACAGCAGAGACTTCCACCCGGATAAGCTCGGGGCCAAGTTGGAAAGAGGGGAGATTACGCAAGCCCAGTTCGAAGCGGATAAAGAAAAGTATGCCCAGGTGAAGCGGGACAAGGAGGAACTCTTTCCGGATCCCAAAGACGCGGAAAAAATGAAAACCGCGGGGTTATTCCAACCCGGATCGAGTGGTAGCGGCTCGGGAGGGGGAGGCGATCCTGGTGGCAACAACAGTGGCAACGCGGAGAACGCCGAGCTCTCCAAGTCGGTCACGTACCGTGCCTCCCAGTACTATGAAATGCAAAACAAGCAGCGTACTAGTATAAATCGCATGACAAATTTGCTTAGCATGAGAAAGAAAATTTGTAATGCGGATTTACCTTATGAAAAAGATTTGTCATGCGTGACTGCGATTACTACGAGTGCGATACTTTTGCACAGGATAAGTACCTCCAGTCCGCCAATTTGTTCACCTCCGGGGCCGGCGCGCTGCGGAAAGTGCAGGAGCTGCTCTACGCGTTCAAGCCGACGGGAAAGGGCAACTGGAAGCAAGCGGGCTGGCACAGCGTTATGCATTGCAAATATGTCTGGGTCTGGAAGGTTGCGAGATTTGACATGCTAGCCTGGCATGACTCTGAGCTCTGTATTGCGTGGCCACAAAGACGAGCTCCTCTTGCCTGTCATGCAAAAACGCAGTTTCTCATGCGGAGTACGCAACTCAGAATGGAAAAACCTGTCATGCTTGGAAGCGCATTACGCTGCCCTGCGCTCCCTATAATTCCCTCCCTTGCATCACAAGTTCCTAGACCCAGACATGTTTGCACTGGATAAGTGTGTTCAAGCAGCCCATCTTTTTCTCACAGAACGCGGCGCATCCGTGGAAACGATCGACGGCCGGTTATGATAGTGCAGAACTCCCCCTCCCCCTCATTTGTGATGCAAAATCCCAAATCCAAGCGCCACCCTGTGGCACTGTTTGCATGACAAATTCCGGAAGCCCAAACAGTACTTCACTATGCGCGTGAACTTGTCATGCGCAGGCCCTACGTGTGCTGGTGGTTGTAATGCTGTTCATGCCATACAAATGAGGGGGAGGGGGAGTTGTGCACTGTCATAGCGGGGATGGCAGTGCCAGTGAGCACCCGGAGCGGTTTTTGGGCCCGTTTGAGCAGCCTTTGAATAAAGCCGTCGTGGTCCGAGAAATGGTGCTGAAGCCGATGGTCTTTGACCTCGCGTTGGAAATCGACCTGGACTTGCATCTATAAATTGCAAAAATGTCTGGGTCTGGAAGATTGCGAGGTTTGTCATGCTGATCTGGCATGGCCCTTAAATCTGTATTGCGTGGCCACAAACAGCCTCTCTCGCCTGTCATGCAAAAACGCAGTTTCTCATGCGGAATACGCAGCACAGAAGCACGAAGCAACTTGTCATGCTTGGCGGCGCATTACAGTGCATTTGTTATTGACTGACTTGCATCACAAGTTTCCAGACCCAGACATTTTTGCATTTCATAGCATCTGCCGAAATCCGTGAAGCACGGCGCGAACGGCCAAAAGGAGAAGGTTGAGGAGGAGGACCGCCGACTGCAGGTGAAACAATTTTACCAGGACTTCAAGGCGAATCTGCTCTACCAGTACCAAAGCGGGGAGTCCAGCAGCGGGCATCCGCTGAAAAAACACCTCGAAGAAGCCTTCAAAACTGAGATCCTGTTCTGGCAGAAAACGTCGCGGAAGCTGGAGAAAACGAAGGGAAAGCCGCACGGCATCGGCATCTTCAGCAGCTTCACCGGCGGCGGCGCGAGATATGGACGCGGCAGTGCGGGTTCCAGCACCGCGTCAGACTCTGATGATTCGGAGGCCGACCAGTACATGGATTTGATGGAGGCCCAGAACGTGGTCGGCACGGACCTGGGCTCGATGTATGTCGAATCTTCATATGGCCCACACGCAACTGGGCCCGGCGGTGACCAGCTTGCCGTTTTTGAAAGCAAGGAGAAAGAGGAGGGCGACGAGGACGGCCTGGATGAAGATGAAGACAAGAGGTGGCGCGGTCTGTTATCGGATAACAGTCTAAAAGTCTTATCAAATGTAAAAATGTCTGGGTCTGGAAGAATGCAACTTGTGATGCTGAATCTGAAGCATGAAAAATTTGTGTTGCATGATTACCAAAAGATGTCCACTTTTGATTAGTTTCACAGGGAGTTTCTCATGCAGGATAGGCATGATAGACACCTCACAGCGTTTGTCATGCTAGGTGCTGCATTCCAGGCCTCATGGGTCATGGAAAAACTGCATCACAAATCTTGCATTCTTCCAGACCCAGACATTTTTACATTTGATAAGTCTCCTTGACCGACCTGAAATGGGAGGAGTCCCCGGACCGGCGCGACTACGAGGAAACCCTGGATCAAGGTCTGACCGCGTTGAAAAAAGGCTCAGATATGAGAGTGCACAACTCCCCCTCCCCCTCATTTGTCATGCAAAATACCAAATCCACCCTATGCCTCTTGGCACCGTTGGCATGACAAGTTCTGGTGGCCAAAATAGCACTATGTATAATCTAGTGGAAATTTGTCATGCAAAACCGGCAGTCTTGCTGATGCTTGTACTGCCGTTCATGCTATACAAATGAGGGGGAGGGGGATTTGTGCACTGTTATATCAGAGAAAGCGGACCCGGAAAGAGATTTCAAGTCGAACTCCGAGGTGTTCAGCTTTATGAATTGCAAATATGTCTGGGTCTGGAAGGTGGTAACTTGTCATGGTAAATCTGAAGCATACAAGAATCTGTGTTGCATGAGTGCCGAAAGCTATCCACTTTCGACCAAGTTGGGAGGGACTTTCTCATGCAGGATAGGCATGGCAGAGACCTCGCAGAGTCTCTCATGCTAAGTCCCGCATTCCAGACCTCATGGATCATGGAACCTCTGCATGACAAGTTTACACTCTTCCAGACCCAGACATATTTGCATTTGATAAGCTTCGTCTACGAGCAGTTCCGGCAAATGTGGGGTATCAAAGGGACAAGCCCAACCGGGACGGTGTCTGACGGGCAGTTGGGGTTGAACGCAAAGTCCGAGCTGAGAAACACAGAACTGCTGAAGATCGAAAGTAAAAGGAAAGAACCTGAAATATCAAAAAGAAAAATCCCCCCTCCCCATATTGTTGAAAACGTATCTTCTGAAAATTTGTGATGCAGATTTGTGGCCACAAATCTTGTCTGTCTTGCGAGAAGGCAAATCCAGGCTCTCTGCCACGCTATGCTGGCGATTTGTGATGTTGTAAGGACTACAGGACAGCCGTCTACCATGCGAGGCGCTTACACCAAAAGGCCCCTATCTAGGCTGGCAATCTGCGCGCAGTCCTCTACTGCAAGACAAATCTGATTTGTGTATGCACACCCAGCATCACAGATTTCCTTTTCGATATGGGGAGGGGGGTTTTTTCCTTTTGATATGAAAATCTTTCCGCGAGCAGTGGAGCGAAATCTAGTTCCGTCTTTGCGGGTCTGTCCGGGAGCTTGTTCGGCAGCTCTACTGCAGTCCCTGATAAAGCGGCGCAACAAGCTGATACTCATGCCCCATCTTCTGCCGCCCCGAGTCATCTTCCGACATCAATCGCGAAAGGTCCGTCGCAAATGGATGATGATGAACGAGAGAAACTTGACCAAATGAAGCAGGAGAGGGACTACAGAGTTCTCTGGCTGCAGTTCTCTGTGCAGATTTCGGAGCACGAATTGTCGCAATTGCATAAAGCGGAGGACACAGAGTCCGAGCTGATGTTCCGGTTCGCAACTAAGATGCGGAAACTGCTCGGGTTCGGAGACGACCTGGGAATGTCCTTGGGGGCGGAAGCAGTGCCGGACCACCATTTGAATCTCGGAGTGAAGCGGGAGAAGTCGTTCATTCAGGAAGAGTACGAAGAACATGTGGAGTCCGTTGCGTATCAAAAAGCAAAACCGTGGGGACTTTTCACGAATGATAACGACGGAACGGATCAGATGCTCCGGAATTCCGATCGCGAAGGCTCCTTCCATAACACCCACTATCAATTGTAAAAATGTCTGGGTTTGGAAGATTGCCAGGTTTGTAATGCACATTTTCTTTGCATGCCTCCTAATGTCTGTGATGCAGGCCCTAGCATCACAGATTTTGTGAGGGCTTCCTGATGCCTATACCGCATGATAAATGCTCTTTCCGTGTAGCAAAACTTGGACTCTTTTTGCTGCTCATGCAATACAGATTTTTTTGCGAATCCAAAATCAGCATGACAAGTTGGATTCTTCCAGACCCAGACATTTTTACAGTTGATACCCACTGGTACTCCCGGAAAATCCACCAAAACAAAATTTTCGACTCCGTTTACCGACTTATCCTGAGTAAAAACGTCCCCACACGACCATGGTTCTTGTAATGCAAATCTGCATGATGAAAATGTTTCCCATGCAAATCCCCATGAGAAGCGTTCTTTTCTAGTCGTGTTTTGGGATTTGTGTTTGTCATGCTCCAATCAGCATGATATACTAGATCTGTGATGCTGCTGAACTACCTGAAACAGCACTGCACTACGACGACAAACCTGTCATGCGAAACAGCCGAAGGTGGTTGATTTGTGTAGCAGATTTCGCATCTTGACTATGGGGTCGTGGGGACATTTTTACTCATGATACGACTTGCGCCTGGAGGTGACGAGGACAAGCAACGAGCTTTGAACGATCTCGGGAAAAAAGGCCCGGTGTCGTGGCAGTTACCGGACTACGCCCGGCACCATATCCTGAGTAAAAACGTCCCCACACCAGAGTTGTAATGCAGATTTGCAAAGACAGGAAGACTTGTAACGCGCATCCCCATGAGAGCCATTTGTTTCCAATCGTGTATTGGAATTTGTGATGCTGTGAACAGGATGAGCAGATGAATCTGTGACGCGGCTGCACTTGCTAACCTGCACTACACTGCGGAGTGCAACTTGTCATGCGTGACTCCCAAAACTCCTAGGTTTGTGTTGCAAAATCCCCATCCTGATTCTGGTGCGGGGACGTTTTTACTCAGGATACACCATTTTGCAGAATCTGTCAGAACTGCTTTCAAAAAACATGTTCAATCGCCCTGGAAACCGGATTCCATTGTCGATATCCACGCAGATTTCCCGAGTCACTGGTACGTGAAGACTAGTCTGTTCGGCAGTAGTGGAGCCGCACCTGTGACAGGGACGAGTGTTGACAAGCCTTCCAGCGGTAGTGGTTCTACTTCCGATCAAAAACCTGCGGGTGGCCCCCCAGGAGGATCCTCCTCGGCTGCGGATTCCATTGAACCGGACGAGGATGACATTGACAAGCTACTATTAAATCTAGACAAAGATGACACCGAGGCTGTTGGCTACTGGCGGACCATGCTCAAACAGAAGGCCGAAGAACTCATGCGGGAAATGAACAAACAGGCCCAGAAGGAAGCCGAGCAAAAAGCAAGGGAGGCAGAGGAAAATGGGGAGGAGGAAAGTCCCCATCAAACAGGAGCGGCTAGTGGTAGCCCCGCGAGCGGCTCTCCAAGAAGCGTCGGGCAGCCGATGCGCGGCTATGCATTGCAAATATGTCTGGGTCTGCAAGTAGCCTGCAATTTGTCGTGCTGAGGCTGGATCGCATAAAAATCAATCTGTGTTGCGTGCTTACCAAAAGGTGTCCACATTTATTAACCAAGTTGTAGCGACGCAGTTTCTCATGCAGGATAGGCATGATAGAGATCTCACAGAATGATCTGTCATGCTAGAAGATCCTGTTAAATTGAAGATCTCATGGATCATCGAAAATGATCTGCACGACAAACTCTTGCATTCGTCCAGACCCAGACACAGTTGCATTTGATAGCCGCGGTAGTGTTGTTGAAGCGGACTACACAGTGGTCCTCCAGCCGGAGGACACTGCTGAGAGGCAACATTGGACCAATTTGGCGAAGAAGTGCGCGCTGCTGTGGAAGAAGATGAATAGGCTGTTCAAGAAGCACCAGGAGAAAACCCTGCCGCTGATTTCCCGCCGAATCGGGATTCACGGAAACGCGGACTTCCTGCGCATCCCCCACTTCCTGGCGTTATCGAAGAAAAAAACTGTGTAATTGCAAATTTGTGTTGCAGAACATGCAACAGAGTTACACCTGTCATGCCAGACAGCCATGAAGTCCTCTTTTCATGTGTGTTTTCCCTTACGAGCCACGCGTGACAGGTTTTCTCTGTCGTGTAGAGCAAATTTGTAATTCTGTTCCTCCAAAAAAGTTACACTAACACAGTTTTTTTCTTGCATAGGCGCCGTTGATTATGCAGTGGGATGACATGACAAACGGGCTGACGGATAGAGAGAAAGGAATGTTCCGTAAGGTGTTGCAGACGGAGAGACCGTACCAAATGTAAAAATGTCTGGGTCTGGAAGAATGCAAGGCTTGTCATGCTTGTCTGGCATGACCCATGATGCTTGTAATGCATGAACCAGCATCACAGATTTTTGGAAGGCTTGCTGATGCCATTTCCGCATGACAAATGCCCTCCTCGCGTAGCACAAGCGTGGCTCCTCTTGCTGGTCATGCAATACAAATTTTTTTAGGGTCCAAAGTTAGCATCACAAGTTCCAACTTTCCAGACCCAGACACTTTTACATTTGATAGACTGTTGCAGGGAGTCCCGGCCAAAACGATCCTGGAAACCTATCCTGAGTAAAAACGTACCCACACCAGAGTCAGGATGGGCATTTTGCAACACAAACCTAGGAGTTTTGTGAGTCACGCATGACAAGTTGCACTCTGCAGTGTAGTGCATGCTAGCAAGTGCAGTTGCATCACAGATTCGTCTGCTCATCCTGTTCACAGCATCACAAATTCCAAATCACGATTGGAAATGGCTCTCATGCGGATGCGCATTACAAGTCTTCCTGTCTTTGCAAATCTGCATATACAACTCTGGTATGGGGACGTTTTTACTCAGGATAAGACCTTGTACGAAATCAACCCGGACCTGCACACAAAAAATCTGAACCGGGCTCTTCTGGGCAAAAAATACAAGGATGGTATCCCGGTGATCGCCACAGATTTTCTCCCGCAGAAAGTCACGGACATCTGGAACAATTGGCAGCGGGTGCGGCAGTTAGAGATTATGAACGTGCACAACTCCCCCTCCCCCTCATTTGTCATGCAAAATTCCAAATCCACCCTTTGCCTGTTAGCGCTGTTTGCATGACAGATTCGGGAATCCAAAACAGCACTACAGTCTCCTCGGAATTTGTCATGCAAAAGCTGCATCTTTGCCAGCGCTTGTGTTGCTGTTCATGCAACGCAAATGAGGGGGAGGGGGAGTTGTGCACTCTCATAGAGATGAAAGAGAAACTAATTTTCGTCACCGACATCGAGGCGGCACGATTCACGGCGCAGCTAGTCTCCACCTCGAACAGCGGTGTTGTTGAGCAGTGCCACTCCGGGGAACAGGCGTTTAAGCTTCCGAAAAGGAAGAAGGAGATGCTGTTTCGGGAATATTTATCAAGTGAAAATATGTAGTCTGCTGGGTCTGGAAGAATGCAACTTTATCATGCTTGTCCCAGCACATAACTCTTGAATCTGTAAAAATGCATCCGCAGGGACCACACAACCTTGCCTCCTGTCGGTCATGCAAAAATGCAGTTTGCCATGCCATGCGGAAAGCGAAACAAGTGGGAGCGGAGAGAAATAAGATTGTCATGCTGCATATGTCAGAAGTGCGTTTGCCATTCAGGAACTACTAGCAGCACAAGTTTCATTATCCAGGAGTGACCCAGACTGATATTTGCCATGCATAGTACTTCATCACCGACAATTTAGGGTTTAACAGCATTGCTTCTTCGGACAACAAATGCTGGTACCCGGCGACCGGTGCTTTGGAGCTAAAGCAGGCGCAGGAACTCTTCCGCGAAGAGGGGAAAGAGAAGATTTTCCCGGCGCTCTACGAGTACTGGAACTTCCACCAGAGCTGGGATCCCGCGGTGTTGGACCACACTGCGAGTACTAAATACGACCCCGAGCAAATCGAGCGGCAGTTTGTGCACCGGTCCCCCTGGCACACGGAGCAGATTCGGGACGAGTCGAGGACATTGCCGTCGTATCCTGTGCAAAAGTATCGTACTCGTATTTTTGCAATCATGCATTACAAATCTTGTTCTTAAGGTTAAGGCAAATCCGCATTACAAATTTTATTTCTCATGCGGAGGAAATTTGTAATGCATTTATACGAGTACGATTATACTTTTGCAATTCATACGTCGCTGCACCGGCCCAAAGCGGACGACAGGATCTGGGCGGATGATTCGTACGTGCAGTACAAGAAGGACTTGACCTCTATCAAATGCAAAAATGTCTGGGTCTGGAAGATTCTAAACTTGTCATGCTGTCTCTGGATTCGAAAAAAATTTGTATTGCATGACCAGTGAGAGAAATAGATTTTGTGCTCCGCGGAGATGGCATTTGTCATGCGGAATAGGCATGAGGAAGCGCTCTGAAAATCTGTGATGCTAGGCCATGCATTACAGGCATTATGGATCATGCAAAATATGCGTGGCAAATCTTGCAATCTTCCGGACCTAAACATATTTGCATTTGATAACCTCTCTGCTGGAACAGGTCGGGGTGGTCGTGGACGTGCGGAGAAGAGCCGTGATTTTCGCGGAAGCAACGATTCTGTCCCGGTCCGCCGGCGGGTTGAGGAAGGCGATCCAGCGGCACAAGGTGCTGCTGGGCGGGACGGCGTCCAAGGAGCTCGGAGACGATGAGAACAACGCGGTGGAGCGGCTGCTGAAGCACGGGGACTTTAAGGTATTGATAATCGGACGAGATGACAGAAATGTTAAATCTGTCTAGCAGGCGGGCTGCCTCCACCTTGATAGATGTGTAGGCTCTTTTTACGTATGCTTTATTTGTAGAGGCAGCAACATTTCATTGAAATGTTGCATTATAGGACGTGAAAGTCCGAACATTTATTTCTGAAATATATGTTCTTGAGTACCACATGATCCCAAATTGAATCGGTCATGTTGCATAATTTATTGGTATAATTTTCTTTCCTCCTCCTGCTGCAGATAAAGCCATAGGCTCCGTTCCTGCAAAATCCACCTCCCTTCAAAAAAACAACTTCAGGTCTCCCCGCTCTCCTCCGCTCCAGGCTCTGAGCCCACCCCGGCCCAAACGCTGCAATACACTCCAGGGTATGAACTGCAAAAGTATCGTACTCGTATAAATGCATTACAAATTTCCTTAGCATGACAAATGAATTTTGTAATGCAGATTTGCCTTGGAAACAAGATCAAGACTTGCGTTAGCATTTGTACGAGTGCGACACTTTTGCACAGGATACAGGGTCCAGTGAGATCACCGGGTTTTCCTATGCGAATTTCTTGAAGGAGGCTATTCTCGTCGCGGAAAACACCCATCTCGGGGCCGACCGCTGGAACTTGAAGCACAATCCGCAACTGCGCATGGTGAAGAAACACCTGGGCTTAGTGAAGATGTCCACGGTGGACCCGACCGCTGCCGGCTTTCACGCCGCGAACGCAAGTGGCGCTGCACCGAGGCAGAATCGCCAGAGGCGCTGGACCCGGGATGAAGTGGCGGCGCACACCATTGTTCCACATGTGGGGTGGTGGAAACCGAATTGATAGTATCCACACGAAAATCGAAAGGAAAATATGTTCGCATATAACAAATCCTAGCAGTTGATGTCCCACGAGGACCTCATGCTGATGACACTATGATGGCGATGTTTTTCCCCCACAAGGTTCGACAAAAAGTCGAACCCTGCAAAATGTAGGGGACGCATGCACGCCAAAAAACAAAAGAATGCAACCCAGGTGCTAGTATCTGATGTGTAGGTCTGATGCTGGTCGTGATTCACATTGGAGCCGTCAGTATTGCACCTACCCCTACGCTCTTTAGCACCTTTATATATATTTTCTGCTTTTTTTTTCGCCGGAAGCAAAATGCTGGGACATCAAAATACTCCCACCGGCGTGTGCAGATGCAGATGAAATAGCCTTTCTACAAAACTACAAAAAGCGGATATCGCTATTCGGAATAAACTACAACGGAAATAATTGAGATTTTTCTTCTTATCTTGTCATTATCAGAACCAAAATGTCTAGATCAAATTCCTCAACTTTAATCAAATTCCTCATAGCGCTAGAGGAAAAAAGGTGTGTAAACGCGTTCCCACCTTCACGCATGAACACAAACAAACAAACAAACTTCAATCAAAATGTCTAGATGAAATACCTCAACTCTAATCACATTATCAAAATGTCTAGATGAAATACCTCAACTCTAATCGCAGTATCATGTATTGTTTCGAACAAAAATCTACTATCAATTTGCCCCTTGCAAGTTTTCTCGACCTAATTTCTCGCCCTTCCTTGGCGTCCTCGTTTTATGTCACGGCAGGTTCCCCGATGCTGCAGCCTCGGAGGTTCTGCTTGTTTTTCAACAAAGCTTTTTGATGTACGTGTATGATTTTGAAACTTCTCATCTAATCCACGCACGATAAACTACTCAGAGATATTTTGATAGAAAGAAGAATTATACTAAAGATTTTTATCGTGGACAATGAGCTGCATTATATCTGTTAACTCGGCAACCAATGATGTTGTTGATACCTTTTTACAAAGCGCACAGAAAGAATCTCGTTTGAAGACACCTAACGATCTTTTTTTGCCTTTTGTAAAAGAATTATAGACAGCACCTGCATCGAACAGCGAAAACTTCATGTAAATCAAATCTAAGGATCGCGTGTGCGTTGATATACGGCACAACTCGCTTATTTTACAATTCTACTTGGCGCACTACTTCTATTCTTGCACGAACACATAACGAATACTGTATTTGTTTGCTCGTCAGAGATAAAGATCGGGAAGTCGACGCATAATAATTCCACTGTTGTCTAAATGCGATGCGAAGTACTAGACTCCTCCAGAAATATAACGAGAAGCAGCATTTCTAAACTTCGATTTTGCTGTTAGGAAAACAAAGTTGCGCCGCACTTTCATGTCTGGAAATAGGTTTTTTCCAACGTGGGAAACATGTGTGTGCAACAGGCAACTACACATTCGATAAGTACTTCGATATAATATATGCATCAGCAGTGCGAAAAGGTATCTATCCGCGTGGATTTGTCCCTTTCGCACGTCGAGACATTAAAGTTAGCTCGAAGTGAAGATCTTGTGAAGAACGTCCTGTCAACCGTTTCAAGGGCAATATCTGATGACTGAAGAATTTTCTACTCGTGGCCAATGCTCCCAATAGATTGTGAATACAGCGGGTGTTCGACCAGAGGTAGAAAACCGACATCAACATCTCCCTCGTTTTGTAGCCTACAAGCAAAAATGTATAATATGCTCATGTTGACTCCTCGCTCCCGAAGAATGCAAAACGAAGAACTTTTGTTTGCGAGATCCGCTGCGCCGTCTACTTCCGCAAAGAAAAAGAAGTGTGACTCTGCCACGCCCGCTCCACGACCCATCAATGATCTTCAGCAGAGATCTTCAACTGTAAGCACGAGAAATTATCCCGGTAAGAGAATTCCGGCCAGAACATCTTTGTGATCCTTTTTTTGCTTTCAATCACATTTTTGTTTTCAAAGTATTGTCAGGCGACTTTGACTAACTCTAACAGTTGGACGAATATTAAAAATGGAAACATCACGAAGCATCGATCTATTACTCGTACCAATTGTCGTAGAAGCTGGAAGCTTTTGCTTTGATACGATACAAGGGAGGTCAACTTAGAACGGCGGAACGCTTTCCATAGTACCTGGATCGCACTTGATTTTGTCGAGACCACGAAAGTAAGTCTTCCTCTTGTTTCACAATTCATGCGACACGTTGATAAATTACATTAGTGGATCTTCCCAGCAGCGTCTGTTTCGACGCACCGACCACAGAGCATTTTCTTCCAAGAAAATTTAACTATCTCGACGTCCCTATCTAGCTCGACCACACGACCATGACCTCCCTCGACTCCATCGAGGCCTACCTCCCCCAGGAGGCTTTTGGCTGCATCATCGGCCAGGGCGGCAGCCGCATGAGCGAAATTCGCCAGAGCTTCGATGGTATAAAAATCCAGACCGACCGCGAGGCCGCCCGGAATGGGTTTCGCTTGTTGAAGATCCACGGGGAGTGGGTGCAGATGTGGTGTGCGTTCTATCCTGACTAAAAATGTCCCCACACCAGAGTCAAGATTGGAAATCCACAACACAAGTCTCCAAGTTTTGGGCGTTCTGCATGACAAGTTTCCATCTGCAGTGTAGTGCTGGTTAGCAAGGAAAGCCGCATGAGAAAGCCACTTTCTGATCCTGTTTCAGCTTACAGCATTACAAATGCAAAAACACGACTGGAAATCATGCCTCTCGTGGGGATGCGCATTACAAACGTTCCTGTCATTGCGCATTTGCATGACAACTCTGGGGTGGGCAAAGTGCGTCGCATTTTGCTTAGCATGACAACTCTGGGGTGGGAACGTTTTTACATAGGATGCGTTCTGTGAGGTGATCAAGTCGTTGCACTTGGACGAGAAATTCGTATCGAAAGGAAAAATCCCCCCTCCCCATATCAAAACGAAATTTCTGATGCTGGATTTGTGTACACAAATCCGAGCTGTCTTGCTGGAGAGCACTGCAGGCCCTGACGAAGTGTGAGTAGCGAGGCTTTGGCCTAGGCACTTAGCATGAAAAACATCCACGCTGCAGGCCCAACAGCATGACAAACCGCCTGCACAATGCAGCGGAGCCTGCGGAGTTGCCTTCTTGCAAGACAGACACGATTTGTGACCACAAATCAGCATCACAAATTTCCAAAAATATACCTTTTCAGTATGGGGAGGGGCGATTTTTCCTCTCAATAATTCGCGCAGAAAAACCCGAATTTGGTGAACCGTATTGCATGCAAATAATACATGTCTGGGTCATCTGGAAGGTTACAACTTGTGATGCTGTGTTTGGATTCTAGAAAGAGTTGTATTGCATGACCAGCAACAGGAGTCCGCCAGCTCTTGCAACGCGGAACTACAGGGGCATTTCTCATGCGGAATAGGCTGCATCAGGGAGCCCTCTAAAAATCTGGATGCTAGGTCGTGCATTACAGACATGCTGGGTGTGAGTCATGCAGAGTATGCATGACAAACCTGGCAATATTCCAGACTGAGACATATTTTTAATTGATAAACCGGTTGACCGTTCAATTAAAGATTCCGATCAAGATCGCGGGAGGCCTGATCGGCAAGGGTGGCGCGAATCTGAATGGGTGGCGGGCAGAGTGGCCGAAGTGCCAATTTGACGTGAAGAATGACGAAAGTGATCGGGTGTACAGGTAAAATATTACTATAGCTGTTTATGGTTCAAACAGGCCGTGTGAAGTGAACATTTTTGAGTAGAAAACTTCTCATTCAAAATCTGTCAGCGCAGTAGTTGAATGTGTCATGCATGTTGAAGATGAAGCTGCTTGATTGATACAAACAATCACGTCAGGTACTTCTATCTCGTCGGCTCTTCTATCGAGTTACAGGAGGCTGCGGTGAGCATTGCCGACGTGCTTATCAAAAGAAAAAATCCCCCCTCCCCATATCGAAAAGGAAATCTGTGATGCTGGATTTGTGTACACAAATCGGATTTGTCTTGCAGTGAAGGACTGCAGGCAGATGTAAAGTCTGAGCCGGGTGCTTTCGTGTAGGCGCCTAGCAAGGCAGGCGCGTCCTCTGTAGGCCATGCAACATTACAAATTGCCTGCAAAACGCGGCGGAGTATCTGGATTCGCCTTCTTGCAATACAGAGGCGATTTGTGGTCACTAATCAGCATCGCAAATTTTCAGAAGTGCCCCTTTTTGGTATGGGAGGGGGGATTTTTCCTCACAATAGTGCTGGAGCAGTGTTTGATCAACCTGCAGTATCCAAGAAAAAAAGTGTGTAAGTGTAACTTTTTTCGAGAAACAGCATCACAAATTTGCTCTACATGACAGAGAAAACCTGTCATGCGTGGCTTGTAAAGGAAAACACACATGAAAAGAGGACCTCATGGCTGTCTGGCATGACAGGCGCAACTCTGTTGCATGTTCTGCAACACAAATTTACACTTACACAGTTTTTTTCTTGCATATGCAGGCGAAGGAGGGCGGTGCCGGGCTCGCGCAGCAGCGCTCTGTCAGCGTGAACAACAATGCCCAGCAGGGAGTATCAAGTGTAAAAATGTCTGGGTCTGGAAGAATGAAAGTCTGTCATGCTTCTCTGGCATGATTCGAGAATCTGTGTTGCATAGGCACGAAAAGGCCCTCTTACCTGTGATGCAAAAACGCAGTTTGCCATGCGGAATACGTAAGACATGGCAGCCAAAAAATTTGTAGATGCATAGCTGCGTTTTGCAGTCCGGCTATCATCCACTTTTTGCATCACAAGTTTCCAGACCCAGACACTTTTGCAGTTGATAGGGAGCCCGGGCCAACAACAACCCGACCCAGCGCAACGTTGCCAGCAAGGCCAACAACCCCGGCAACGCCGCGAACAAGCAGACGCAAAAGCGGCCGGACAACCAGAACATCACTTTTGACGATGTGGTGAAGCTGGACAGCAACCCGGAGGAGGATTTTCTGCGGGAGTTGTCCGGTGCGGGCGCCAGCACAACCAATTTTCCCGATTTGAACAACCCCTTTGTATCAAATGCAAAACTGTCTGGGTCTGGAAAGGTGGAAACTGTGATGCTAACTTTGGAGTCTAAAAAAATCTGTATTGCATGACCAGCAAGAGCAGGAGCCACGTTTGTGCTACGCGAGGAGGGCATTTGTCATGCGGAAATGGCATCAGAAAGCCTTCCAAAAATCTGTGATGCTGGGTCATGCATTACAACAAGCATCGTGGGTCATGCCAGACAAGCATGACAAGCCTTGCATTCTTCCAGACCCAGACATTTTTGCATTTGACACTTTGCGCCGGCGAATAACCCCTTCGCGATGGGCGGCGGAGGTACAGCGAACAACGGTTCTTCCAATGTGGTGATCGACGAAATTATCGGCACCGAAAACAACAACAACAATCCGGGGGCGCCGACGCAGCAAGTTCTTACCAGTACCAACTCCCAGAAGCGCAGGCGGGTGGACGGCAACCAAACGATCCAGCAGACTCAGAGTAAGATCCACCAAGAACACAGCGAGAGATCTATCCTGAGTAAAAACGTCCCCACACCGGAGTCAAGATGGTAAATCTGCTAGACAAATCAACCAGCTTTGGCTGTTTCGCATGACAAGTTTTTCCTTGTAGTGTAATCCTGTTCAGGTAGTTCAGCAGCATCACAGATCTAGAATATCGTGCTGATTATAGCATCCCAGATCCCAAAACACGACTCGTAAATGCCTCTCATGGGACTCAGCATGAGAAACTTTTTTGGCATGCAGATTTGCATGACCACTCTAGTGTGGGGACATTTTTACTCAGGATAAGATCGGCGACCGAACTGGAGTGCGTGTGCACCCTGCAGGTGAAGGAAAACACGATGGGTATCCGATGTAAAAACGTCCCCACATCATAGTCAAGTTGGCAAATCTGCAACACAAATCTCCAAGTTTTGGGAGATGTGCATGACAAGTTTGGCCTCCTAGTGTAATCCTGTTTAGCTAGTTCAGCAGCATCACAGACCTAGCGCGTTATGCTTATTGGAGCATGACAAATTTCGAAACGCGACTAGTGCATGCTTCCCGTGGGGGTCCGCATCAGAAACACTTTCAGCGTGCGGATTTGCATATACAACTATGGGGTTTGCTTCCTCCCGTATAGTAATTCAAAGGTGCTACTGCAGGCTCCCATGCAATGTTTCTTGCTGGTAGCCTGGCTTGCTCCTTGTACAGTGTGTGCGTGTAGGATGTTGGCAAAGTTGGTAGGAAATGAGGTTGATACTGTTGGCAAAAAATGTTGGTGGTTGGCAAAAAAGTTGGTTGGTGGCGAAAAGTTGGTTGTTTGCGAGTATAGTATGGAGCGGCCGGGAGATGATGGTGATGGCTCTTCGGTGTCCGCCTGACCTACCCCCCCTGCGTGTCAAGCCATCTGCGGCCTGGGGCAGAGGGGGGGGCAAAGTGTGCTGCAATTCCTTTTAGCATTACAACTATGGGGTGGGGACGTTTTCACTCAGGATAATGGGAAAGATCATCGGCCGGAACGGGGAAGAGATCAACAAAATTCGGCAGTTACGCATTGCAAATATGTCTGGGTTTGGCAAAACATGAACTTGTCATGCTAAGTCTGCATCGTACAAAAAATTTGTGTTGCATGACTACCAAAAGTAAGCTGTCCACTTTTGAACAAGTTTAGAGGCAGTCTGTCATGCAGGATACATAGGCATGATAGAGACCAGACGTCGCAGAACCTGTCATGCTAGGCCCTACATTCCAAGTCTCATATGGCATGGCAAATATGCATGAGAAGTTTGCATCCTTCCAGACCCAGACATATTTGCATTTGATAGCAGTCGTCAAACTGCGAAATCACGACGGACCGCAAGGGCGACCGAAAAGACAACATGCGGGAGGTGCAAATCCGTGGGGCGAGCACCAACGTGGCGACTGCGATCTTGATGATCACGACATTGACGAATAGGATGTAAGAGAGGGTGGAAGAGTATACATGATGTTTACAAGGATCATCGATTGTATACATGAATCTTTCTTGTTCGAGGGCACCAGCGACATCAAACCACTTCTTTGGTAGAGCAACGGAAATATTAAACAATCATCTAGCACTAGACCTGTGCGGCAGCGTCTAGCATCGCTTTGAATGGAACACGACGGCATCCTTTGAATGGAAACAAACTACAAGGCAACAGTTACAGTATGCAGCTGACTACAGTACGTCAGTTCTTCTAACACTGCGCTATGGTGAAAGCGTTGGCTGCGTGGTCGTTTTTTTGATAGGCGAATATAGAATGAAAGATTCGGCTGTAGTTTTCATCAAGTTCGTGAAGTAAAAAATATGCATACCACGTTTGAAATTTCAAAGTGAGGTGCAGGGCTGTGCTATTTTTATGTATCTGTCTTACTTGCCTGTCCCGGTGTTCGACTTTGCCGGGTAATATGCAACAACCTTTCTTGTTGATGCATCGTAAACTGGTGCTGATTCGAGGCACAGTTCACCGGGTCGGAAAATCTCATGTTGCGAGTGGAGTTGTATACTTACTGCTTTCCCGAACCCGCCAGGGTATTGATTTTCAAGAGGGACGACATGTTGGAGTGCTGGCGCTACCTAGAAGTACAAGATGAACAAAAAAAGTCTCACCGGACTCCTGCTTCTTGTTGATGTGTTTTGCATAAAGTTTCGCTTTCCGCTGTCCGGTCTTCATCGTTCCTGCACAGTAGCCCACAAGAGAAGCGCACTCAGAGGGAGAAATGGAAGCACCTGCTTCCTTGGTTACTAGTACTAGAACTCAAAAGAAATAGCCGACGATGTCTTCATCTATGAGCTCCTGGTGCGGCCGAGAATTCGTTTTCGGGCAACTTGTTCGCGCCCCCACGACCTCGCGAGCTGTCGCTTTTCGACATCATATCGTGCTGCTTTGCTTGCTAGCACAGTCCGCCCAGGTGCAGCTCTGGGCCCTGCAGCACGAGAGCGATCTGGGAGATGAAAACACGCACACGCCGAATCTCCGCGGTCGAGGACAAAAAAAGACTGCGCAGTTGATTATCGAGGAAGGTGCAGAATTTTCCCCATCACGAGATGACGATGAAATTGTCGGTAGAAGTGGTAAAAACCCAGAGGATCATCGCGCACGTAGTGAAAATAAAATCGGGAAGATTTTTGCAGAAGACCAGGACTCTTCTGGAGATGATCTTCTTGTCCGGCGGTCACTGCCTTCTGATTCTGAACATCGCGCAGGAGCTCTTCCTACCGCATCATCATCCTCTGCGCTCCAGCTTGAGAACGAGGCAATCAGCCACGGCGACGCCCTGGCGCCGACAGATGTTGATGTTGATTCAATTACAGAATCAGCAAGCAACGCTATCTCTTCAAACATGGCCTCCAGTACTTCAAGCAGTGGAGCTGTAGTCGACCAGTCACAGATCCTCCAGGCACTTTACGCGGTCCAGCAGCAAAACAGCCAACTGGCGACCGAGCTGCAGCATATGAAAGAAAGGCACACGGAGGAGATGAACAGTTTGAGGGAAGAAGTTTTACTGGCGCAGCAGCAAGGAAGTCAGACTCGTCCCCAAGATGAAGATGTTGAAAACTGGCGCGAAGCCCTGTTCCACACACAGCAACACATCCGATTTTGCGGTGCGGTCACCTGGTCGTTGGTCCGCTTACTGCTCGCCGTCGTTTTTGGTGTCATTGCGGCAGACAAGGCACTGGCGATGTTGTTGCTGGTCACGGGCTATCAAATGCAAAAATGTCTGGGTCTGGAAGATTCTGAGACTTGTCATGCACGTTTTGCATGAGCCATGATGTCTGTGATGCATGCCCTAGCATCTTCACAGACGTTTTGCGGGCATCTTGATGCCTATTCCGCATGACAAATGCCCACCCGCCAGGAGTGAAATGGTCACTACTACTACGCGTAGCAAAAACCGCACTCCCTTTGCTGCTCATGCAATACAGATTTTTTTGGAATCCATATGCAGCATCACAAGTTGCATTCTTCCAGACCCAGACACTTTTGCATTTGATACGGGCTATCTGTCGGTGGTGACGGGCACCATGCTTCCCTGGTACCTGGTGTTCTCCCCTTTTTCGAAGGTGAAACTTCTGGTATGGTTTGCAAAGAAACGTAAATCGTACTCGTAAAAATGCATTACAAACTGAAACTTTCATCTCAGCATGAGAAATAGAATCTCGAATGCGGATTTGCCTTAAGAAAAAGATTTGTAATGCATAACTGCAATGGCTACGAGTGCGATACTTTTGCAGAGCATATCCGATCGGCATCGACAACCGGTTGAGTGAGGAGCTCTCGAAAGAAGAGCTCGATGCCGAAGAGGCGGAGCAGGGGCTGCCCCACGACTTCCATCGACGTGGAACGCTGTCGAATTGCTGTAAGCACCAGAGCAGCCCGCAAGGCCGCATTTTTACGGTCACGCTCACACTGTACATGATTTCGACCCTGCTCGCCCGGCACCCCTTCGAGTGTTACGAGTCCTTTTGCCCCTGGCGGCGGACTGAGTTCTTGGAGATTGACCGCGGGGATCCGGGGCTTGCGCGGTTGGCGCCCGCGGAGGAAATTTTGCTGCGGGGCGTGTGGCTCGTGTATCCTGAGGAAAAATGTCCCGCCCACCCCCGAGTCGAAGTGGGGATTTTGCAACACAAATCAACAAGGTTTGGCTGTTGCGCATGACAAGCTTACATCTGTAGTATAATCCTCGTGGTTGGCTAGTAAAGCTACATCACAAATCTAGCTCCTTATCCTGATTACAGCGTGACAAAGGTCGCCCAGACAGCATGAGAAAATGCTCCTCATGGGGCCTGCGCATGAGACACCATTTGGGCAAGCAAATTTGCCTGACAACTCTGGCGTGGGGCCGTTTTTGGTCAGGATATCGTGGTGCCGAGCTTCTGCTTCGTACTCACGGCCGTGATCCCCGCTGTGTATGACGTGATCGCGGAGCGCGAGTATCCTGAGTAAAAACGTACCCACGCCAGAGTTAGGATGAGGATTTTGCAACACAAACGTAGGAGTTTTGTGAGTCACGCATGACAAGTTGAACTCTGCAGTGTAGTGCAGGGTAGCAAGTGCAGCCGCATCACAAATCCAGCTGCTCATCCTGTTCACAGCATCACAAATTCCAAAACACGATTGGACATTACAAGTCTTCCTGTCTTTGCAAATCTGCATTACAACTCTGGTGTGGGTACGTTTTTACTCAGGATAGCGAGATGGCGAAAAACATCCGGTCCGTGTTTATCAAAGTGAAAAAAGCCCCCACCCCATATCAAAACGAAGTTTCTGATGCTGGATTTGCGTACACAAATCAGATTTGTCTTGCTAGAGAGGACTGCAGGCCTATGCTGTGCCTGAGTAGGGAAGTTTTGGCCTGGGCGCTTAGCATGAGAAACGACTATGCTGTAAGAACAGCAGCATCACAAACTGCCTGCATAACGCGGCAGAGCCTGTGGAGTTGTCTTCTTGCAAGACAGACGTAATTTGTGGCCTCAAATCAGCAAGACAAATTTTCGGAAACATACCTTTTCGATATGGGGAGGGGGGACTTTTCCTCTCAATGGTTTTTGCCGAAGAGAACGTGGACCTGGTAGGACATCGATCGGCGACAAGAATTCGAAACGCCAAGGCAAACACCTTCACAAACTGGCTCGGGGTGATTCACAACTGTTCCGCTGCAGCCGGGTCGCTGATTTTGTTTTCCTTCGAGTGGTTACAGCTGGTGTGGGGCGAGGCCGTACCCCTCTCCTACGTGACGGCGATATTTGATACCGAGGAGCGGTCTGCCAACGTGTACGCGAACCCTATTCTGCTATGCAAGAAAAAAGCTGTGTACTAATTGTAACAACTCTACTGTCAGTATACGCAAAACAACTACATGCGACAGAGTTTACATTTTATACGCTAGAAGCCAGGTATGGAGTTGTCCTCTTCCATGTGTCGTCGTCTCTTCACGGATTAGCTGTGCATGACAGGCTTTGTCTGTCATGCAGAACAGATTTGTCATGCTGTCAGCACACCATCAAGACAGCTACTGTACCACAGTTTTTTTCATCCTCGATATCTGCAAGATGGCTACCAGTGGCACATCGGTTGCTTTGATTACACCCTGACCGAGCCCTATCCCACGAAAAAACTGTTTCACTGTGATGCATGGAATGGAACACACAGCTATTTGTCTTGCTGCACATGCAATCCATTGGATTTTCGAGGGTGTTTTCCCTTGGGAAGTGCGCATGGCAAATGTTCTGTGCCATGTGTAACAAACTTGTGTTGCAGATCTTGCAAAATCATCACAGTGAAACAGTTTTTTCCTGCGATAAGCCCGATCGGGCCCGACCGTGGGACCGAATGGTCTGGGCGCGACTCCTCTGCCTGCTGCTGGCGACTCTGTTCGGTTTTACGCTCGTCGCCTTCCAGTATGTTATGTAAAAACGTTCCCGTTCCGCTCCCAGAGTCCTCAAGATGGGGACTACTTTGCTACAGAAAGCAGCAAAGTTTGGCTGTTGCGCATGAAAAATAAAAATTTAAGCTGGTGGCGTCGTATTAAGTCCTGCTTAGCTAATGGCATGAGAAACACTTTGAGTAGATGCGGTTTTGCATGACAAGTTGTGGGCGGGGACGTTTTTACTGAGGATATCCAGGGCGTGATCTTCTGTGCGAACTATCGCGAAGAGACACTGATGAAACGGTTCGCCGCGGAAAGGGAGCAAAGCAAGGCTACGAGCGCCGATGCAACGAGTAAGGACCCGACGGAGGTGGAGGACGAGGGGCGATCCGAAAGAACTACGGATCATGAAGTAGAACAAACTGCTGTCGCCAGGAGAGCATCAACTGAACCAATCGACTGGAGCGGAGACGTAACCGAGGGGCGGATCACTCAGGAGATGAGCACGGCCACCGAAACGACACAAAACCTGTACCGTTGTCGGGAGTTTCAACTGCGCGTATCCCGGCTGTCTTTTGCGGCCGAAGTTTTTTTCATGTACTGTGTCTTTTTCCTGCCCCTGCTCGCAGCCTACCACAACTTCAGCACGTATTGAGAGGAAAAATCCCGCCTCCCCATACCGAAAAGGTATATTTTTGAACATTTGTGATGCTGGTTTGTGTTCACAAATCGCGTCTGTCTTGCAAGAAGGCAACTCCGCAGGCTCCGCCGCATTGTGCAGGCGGTTTGTCATGCTGTTGGGCCTACAGCGCGGGCGTTTTTCATGCTAAGCGGCTAAGCCAAAACCCTTGCGCTCGCACTTGGTATGGGCCTGCAGTGCTCTCCAGCAAGACAGCGCGGATTTGTGTGCACAAATCCAGCATCAGAGATTTCGTTTTACATGATACCTTCATGACGTTTACCGGGTATCCAAAATTCCTTCATGACGTTTACCGGGTACGCGGTTCACAGTTTGTACTGGATTTCGTTAAAGGGACGCCCTGCCCTTAGCCTTCCAAAATCAGAGATTTCGTTTTGATATGGGGAGGGGGGATTTTTCCTTTCGATAGCACCCGGCCCTTCAACTCGCACAGTGTGTTCGAGCCCAAGAAAAGCAGGCGCAACTGGATCATACAGGGCATTGCGAAGCGGTACCACGATCTGGTCGCCGGGCGCGAAACGGCGGACTGGGACCTGGATGTGCAGCCGCGAGGAAAAGAAGAATTATACACCCAAACCGCAGACACGGCAGGGCACTTCAGCATCTGGGATGAAGTCCCGTTCCCCGATATCCGATAAGGAAAAATCCCCCCTCGTCCCCATAGTACCAGAAAGGCACACTTGTATGAAAGTTGCGATGCTGATTTGTGTGGTTACAAATCGTGTCTGTCTTGCGAAAGAGCAGAGCTGCCCGAGTTTTCGCCGCAGTATGAATGTAGGGGGTTTGTGATGCTCTATAGAGTTAGACATACAGGTTTCAGTTTTGATATGGGGAGTGGCGGCTTTTTCTTCTTGATGCCCGAGCTTTTTCTATGAAATGCAAAAGTATCGTATTCGTATAAAGGCAAGTCTTGCATTACAAATCTTTTTATTAAGGCAAATCCGCAATACAAATTTTATTTCTCTTGCTGAGGAAATTTGTAATGCATTTATACGAGTACGAGACTTTTGCAATTCATATTTTCGAGTCTACGACAAGTCGTCCGCCGAATTTGGGAGTCTGCAGGCCATATCAAACGCAAATTTGTGTGGGTCTGGAACAATGCAACGTTTGTCATGCACATCTTGCACGGACCCATTGTGTCTGTGATGCATGCCCTAGCATCACAGATTTTTTGAGTTTGCCTTGATGCTCATTCCGCATGACAAACGCCCTCTTTGCGCAGCAAAAACTAAACTCCTCTAGCTGCTAATGCAAGGCAAAATTTTTTAGAATCCAAAGTCAGCATCACAAGTTGTACGCTTCCAGACCCAAACGTATTTTCGATGCATAGGCCAAGGCTTTGAACAAACTGCAGCTGAACAGCCAAACCATGATATCAAAAGGAAAAATCCCCCTTGCCCATATCAAGCCGAGGTTTCTGATGCTAGATTTGCGTACACAAATGGACTCTGTCTTGCAGTAGAAGACTGCAGGTAGATTCTCAGCTTGTTGGGATGAACCGTGAAGGTCTAGCTGTTTAGCACGGGAAAGGCCTGCCCTGCAGGCCAGACAGGGTGACAAATTTCCTCCATAATGCGGCGCAGACCTATGCATTTGCCTTCTTGCAAGACAAAAATGATTTGTGATCACAAATCTGCATCACAAATTTTCAGAAGGATGCTGCTTTTTCAATATGGGTTGGGGGGATTTTCCCTCACAATACAGGAAGAGCATCACTCTGTCTTTTGATCTGGGCCGCCGGAAGCTCTACCCGCGGGTTTCCTCCTTCTACAAGGGGAAAAGTCAAGTTGTCAACCGCTATGAAATGCAAATATGTCTGGGTCTGGAAGGATGGAATTTGTGATGCGTCCGGTGGATCACACAAAAATGTGTCTTGCGTGATCAACAAAAGACGCCCCTTTCTGACCACCATGAGAGGAAGTTTCTCGTGCAGAACAGGCATGATAGAGACCTCGCAGACTCTGTCATGCTATGTCCTGCATTCCAGACCTCATGCGGTATGGAAATTCTGCATGACAAGTTTGTTTGCACTCTCGCAGACATATTTGCACTTGATAACCGCTACTCGGGTAGTTACAAGGCCATGCCAAGTGATGATCTCCAAAATGAAATCAAACCATCGGAACTAGAAGAAGACACAGCAGCTTCCTCGAATTATGCGGCAGCAGAAGTAGAAGCGGGTGGAGAAGCTGAATATCAAATGTAAAAATGTCTGGGTCTGGAAGGTTACCAGGTTTGTCATGCATATTTTGCATGACTCAGGATGTCTGTAATGCATGACCTAGCATCACATATTTCTAGAGACGTTCCTGATGCCTATCCCGCATGACAAATGCCCTCCCCGCGTAGCACAAACTGGGCGCCTGCTCTTGCTGGTCATGCAATACAGATTTTTTTAGAATCCAAAGTTAGCATCACAAGTTGCATTCTTCCAGACCCAGACATTTTTACATTTGATACTGAAGCAGGGAGAGCAAGTGAAGAGCACTTCATTCCCATCCTCAAATTAGCACTATCAGAATGAAAAATCCCCCCTCCCCATATCAAATCGAAGTTTCTGATGCTGGATTTGCGTACACAAATCGGATTTGTCTTGCTGGCGAGGACTGGAGGCCCATATTAAGCCTGAGGAGACGGGTTTTGGCCTTGGCGCGTTGCACGAAAGATATCTAGGCTGTAGGTGCAACAGCATGACAGCCCGCCTGTAGAATGCAGCGGAGCCTGTGGAGCTGCCTTCATGCAACACAGAGACGATTTGGGGTCACAAATCAGCAACGCAAATTTTCAAAAACGTGACTTGTCAGTATGGGGAGGGGGGATTTTTCGTTTTGATAAACACGGGAGCTCGACCAGGCAGAGGAGGCGGCGTCGAATACTGCAAGAGCAAGACAAGCTAGTACCAGTGCGAGGACGAGAAATACCGGGCTACCCGATAGAATAGAACACGAAGATAGAATCAATGTTGCAGAAAGAACTACAACTACAAGCTCCGATAATTTTGCCGCACCAGCGCAAGAAGCACGCCATGGAGGGGAAGAAATAGAAAACATCAACCAAGATGAAGAGGTATGCACAGCAAAAGTATCGTACTCGTATAAATGCATTACAAATTCCCTCGGCATGAGGAAGAAAATTTGTCATGCGGATTTACCTTAAGAAAAATATTTGTAATGCATGATTGCGATTACTACGAGTACGATACTTTTGCACAGGATAAGAGGCGGCTGCAACCTCGGGAGGTGCTGGTCGTGCAGAACTTGAAACTATGCACGCGGACCATAGCAGTACGAACAAATCTCCCGAAATCAGGGCCAGTCGAAAGGGGCAATCGTGGAGGTGATTGGTTTATTCGATTGGCACGTTTGGAATAAATTGTCGAGCTTCATCTATGGCATTTCTACTTCTGCATCCGAATTACAAGCTGCAAACGGTTCCCGTAGTTGAACTATCGCAAACGCTACGGAGGACATCACATGAGCACTACACCAGAGATGAAAAAAGGTAATAAAGAAACAAGTGCTACATGATTGCTACTGTCAAAGTCCGCTGCCCGCGAGGACGATTTAGTATGACTTTCGTGCAGAAAATGCAAGAAAATTCCTCCTCGCGGATTTCATTTTTTCAAGATCAATGAGCCCCCTAATCTCGACAAATTGGGCCCGAAGGGATAGGAAAGATCAACAGCGCAACCGCAATTACTTATGCGAGTGGAGCACATTAGACAAGCAAGTAAATTTGTTGTGCAGGAGCTGCGAAAGCGCGTATTGAAGGTTAAGAGCTTCCGGCAACAAGAAGTATTTTAGTCGAGGCCACGAAGATGCAACTATGTTCCCAGAAAAGAAACCGAGACGTGAAGGTCTCGACGCGGTCACAGAAACCAGAAATAATTCGAAGTGAGACGTTCATCCTTCGGTCGTCATGCGGCAGTGGTATTAACGATCTAATCGATTACATCGAACAAGAGATGCACCAGGGGGCTAGTTGTTCTATTTCCTTGTCAAAAAAGATCCACACCCGTATTTATCAGACGAAAATAGCCTCTTTTAGGTATTTTATTTCTGCTCACAGAATCACTACAGACATATCGGTTTCCGGATCATTGAGTTGGATGGTGCAGATGGTGACAAAATCTCGAGCTCAGCTGCAAAGAAAAACGCACGACTGGTTGGAGTTCAGCCAAAGTGAAGTTTTTGCGGTTCAGCATCTGCTGCACGATGTATAGATCGGTAGCCACAATATTCGGATCCTGCTCCTTACAACGGCGGGCCTGCCGAGTAGAAATCGCGGTCGTCTTCTGGATCTTTCTTTTGCAGTAGAAAATAAAGCAGGGTATTTCAATTTCTCGGCAGGACGCTAGACAATTTGTTCCTAGATGGACAACAACCGCAAGGTTGCTGCTCCCTCTGCACCAGCTGAAAACACAAGATGGTTGCCGAGCCGGAGATAATGCTTGGAGGTGGAGGCAGTCGGTGACATGACGTGTCAAACCGCTGTCAAAGGTCCGCCGGGTGCACAAGTTTTTTTTCCTCCGCCACTCTGCGAAAGAACGCGCCGGATGAACAGGGGCTACAACTTCAGGAAGACCATTGGTACGTCGCACCGTTGCGAGCTAATGGAGTCTGCTCCTAGTACCGCAACAACTCAGGAACCAGCTCGAGCTGACACTCAAGGTTGAACGGGAGTGAAGATTTCAGGAAAAGATATTACGGGGTTGAACCAGCGGTGGTGTGTTGTCTCGCCTTGTTCAATATCTATTGTGGTCAATGCGCCGGGATAAACAAGAAAGATTTCAGGAATTTTGCTGTTTGGCAGGAGGACTCAAAACGACCGGTAATATGATTCGCAGTCCGCGAAATGAGGAAGTAGATCTTGTTTCTCAGCCCATCTCGAGCAGGACAAACACACCGCAGCTTAGCTTGCGTGGAGCGCGTGCAACAAACTAGTTGCTGAGCAGTTCGGTGTTCTCGTCAAGCAATGACAGCAGTGCACTTTTTCAAGTAGTAGATATTCCAAGGGAAGCTACCAGGGGAAAGTAAGTAAATAGAACGAGGATCGAGATTAAATGGCGAGGAGCAGCGCGGGCTCCGTGCCCTTTTCGTTGTGTCCTTGCCAGATTTGTGGCCCCGCGTCGAGCCATTGGACAGACACTGTGAGCCGGGCGTGGCCGTCGCCTGCTTTTGCTTGGGAGCCGTGGCGTTCGCTATAGTAAGTCAAGCAGCCCGGAGGTGATATGAGCTGGGAAGCGGCCTGTGCTAGAGTAAGTCCGGCGCCCTCCCCTGAAGTAATTAAGCCCAATGGCCTGAGCGTCGGCGCGCTTTGACAGCAGCTCTCCATGTCGTGGAGCGCACACACGCCGACGATTCAGCAGTGGGCGCCACAAGCTACAGGAGGCGCCACAAGCGCGACCGCTTCCCGACTCTCGGGGCTGACCGGAGCCGGTCTCGAGGGAGGCGATGGATGGCCGGGGCGCCGTGCCTGGACGCCCCCGGCTTCCCCAGGGCCGCGTCTGGCCGGGCGGGGGAAGCGAGTCCGCGGTGGTGACCCTGTCGGCGGACGAAACCCCACTCGGAGCAGAGCGGCTGGCAAGACACTTCAGCCACGCACCCCAAGTCACCGACTCGGGCCCACGACCGGCCAAGCTGGTTTTGGATTCTTCATCCAGCAGCCACAGCGCAGGACTTAATCTACTGCCGCGGGCTCGAAAACACAGACACTCGACTTCGACCTAAACGGCCCCTGCCCCCCCTCGGTGTGTATTTCTGTGGTGGGGGGCCGAAGCTCGAGCCAGCGAGGCGGCGCGCCGAAGCCTCCGCCCCCCGCCGAGGCCCCGGCCGGCCGAGGTCGAAGTCCCTCCGGGGGGGCGGTCGGTGGGTGGTGGCCCGGGGGTCGCGGCCGGCCGAAGTCGGAGCCCGCGCAAGGCGGTGCTTGATTTTCCCCGTCTCACTCCCTCGCCGGTGTCGCTAGCGCACTGCCTGGCGCGGTCGTGTTGCCGTTCGGCCTAGCCTATCTGTGTTGGCCTACCAATCCAGCCCGGCGCGCTCCTCGGTGCGGGCCCCGACCTCATCGGGCCGCCCGCCTCATCTCGGCGCACCTGCCGCGCGCGCACCCCCAACACGCACCTTTTGGGTGCGTGTGAGTGGTGGATGCGTGATTCTAGGTGCGTGATTTCTGGGTGCGTGATTCGGGCCACCACCACCTGGAGCTGGAGCGCATGCAGCAAACTAGTTGATGAGCAGTTCGGTGTTCTCGTCCAGGATGTCTGTTCTTTCCGAGGCTAGGACTTATTTTTACGGCGCAACGTACACTTTCGCTGTTGCGTATCGTTTGACGATTTCTTCTAAGGCCGCGAGGCAGTCCTTCTCGAGCCGTGAAAGCTTCGCTGCGGTCTGCAACGTTTTTCGGTCTGGTGAACTAGCAGTTTTTTTTTTTCATTTTTTCGTTCTCCAAACTTGGATATCATTTTCGATCAGTGCGTAATGTGAATTAATTGGTTACTTGAGTTTTTGTGGATCAGCAGTTTTGTTTCTTCTCTTTGATGCCCCGGCAGTATCTTGCAGCTTTCGTGGTTCTATACAAAGGTCTGCCTAGAGCTAGAGCAGGCATGGTCTCGCGAGTTCGCCCGCGTGTCCTCGTTGCGGCGCGCTGGAAAATATTGTGTCATTTCCTCTCCAAACATAGTTTTGATTAGAAGCTCGAGTAAAGTTATTTTGAAGCACGTGGACGAAGAAGTCCTGCCAGTCCTGCCAGAGTGGTTTTTTTTTTTCGAGAGAAACAGAGGTCAAAGGTCTTTTCGAAATTCTATCTGTTACGTTGATGTTCCGGTTTTTAATACCGTATTGATTTTTCGAGTCTGTGTAAACAAATAAACCGAGTTTTATATATTGAACCCTCTTTGCTTTTTTTTCTACTTTGTGCTTTGCACGAAAAATGAGACGCTCTACAACCTCTCGTCACAGTTTGAACATGCTCGAAGAGCGTGATGTCTATGTGCAGGAACAACGTACGACGACTACCCCCCAAGAACGTCGTGTGGAGCCAATCATGGCAGACCCCCTCACGGAGGCCGAGCAGAACGCTGGGATGACGCGGGACTTTAAAACCTTATCACGAGAAACAAGAACTTTAACGCAGCTGTCCGTGTGGCATGTGGTCGTGGATCGGTCATGATCTTCATCTGTGTGCGTAATTATTATGATTCTAGTACTCCTCGTCACAGCGTCTCTATGTCTCACCTTGATGTCATGAACCGGCACAGCTTGCGAGCCAATGGCGGGTCGTGGGAAAAATAAAATGTCCTGTAATAGATTTGTTCACAGTAAAAAGGGGCTGCTTGTCTCGAAGTAGATTTCTCTATGTGATAGATGTGGCATATTGTGCAGACGAAAAAAATGTACCCGACATCCAAATCCGTGCTCCATGCCTTATCCCGCACGTCAAATCATGTGAGGTCGGGTCGTGAGAAACAAGATTGATGAAACAGTTGCAGTTGCGCCATTTGTGTCATGGACAGAAGCGGCGTATTATTTGCAAAACCAGCCTCCATTGTGGTACTAGTATGTCTGATAGATTTGGAGCAGCGCCACGATTGAGTATTTAGTTGCATCAGTTATAAATTTCTCAGTAACTACGACCCGGAGGACTTCACATATATTTGCTATTTGATGTTGCGATTATTTGTTGCCCGAAATCGATGAGGAAAAGGCCCGTCCTCCCACTTCGTCTCACAAGCTGAAGGGCATCAACTTCGGGGACTACCTGCGCGGGCTGGAGGAGGCCGAAATGACCAAGAAGGATCAGCAAAAAATCACGAAAAAACACCACGTGCACCCCACCGCGACACGGAAAGTGTCGTCCGTGAGTCACAGTACAGCCGCGTCCACGCCTAGTATCGCAAGAAAAAACTGCTTCACTGTGAACTTGTGATGCATTGAACGGAATGCAAATGTGTTTGATGTCTTGCTACACATGCAAGACATTGGATTTTTAGCTGTGTTTTCCCGTAGAGTGAAGGAAGCACGCATGCCAAGTTTTGTTTGTCATGTGGAACTACAAACTTGCGATGCAGATCTTGCAAAATCGTCACAGTGATACAGTTTTTTCGTGGGATAACGCCCAAGAACAGCATCCCCATCGGCGCAAAGCCGCAGCGGAAGAGAGATATCATCCGAAAGATCGCGAATGTTATGTCGAGGAATCGCCCTCCTCCATACAACTCAAAACGGATTTGCGCGGACTGATTTTTGCACATTTTTTGGTACTACGCAACAAGTACTAGAGCTCGTCCTGTACTAGTACTAATATTGCATCAATATATAACGTGGAGCCTAAGAACGGAATATTACGCCCTCAGGAAGCTGACTATGGGAGAGTTTATTCTGGCTTTGTCCTGCTGCTTTGTTGCGCAGTACAAGTATAATCCGATTTGCTATTGCGCAAATCTTTTTCATTCGGCGCAAATCTCTCGCGCAGCACGGAGAGGGCGACTTCTCACTTCGATACGCTAGTGGTTCGAACTGTGCTATGACATCAACGGACCAATTCTATCAAGTGCAAATATGTCTGGGTCTGGAAGGGTCCGAACTTGTGAATGTGTTGCGAGTTGCGGATCTTCACACAGAGTTCTCGTGTGTGATTTCCTTCAATAGGTGCTCACTTCTTCTGGTCAGGTCATGCTGAGAGGGTGTAATCTCTCATTCAGAATACTTAGGCATGATCACGAAGGGGCTGCAGAACCTGTGATGCTAGGCATTTCAGACTTGCGGAAGCTTTGAGAAACTGCATGACAAATCTCGGAATCTGTCAGGCCCAGACATATTTGCGATGCATAATTCCACCTCTGGATGGAGTGGTTATAATTTCACACACACACGACTTTTCTTCTTGCAACGAAATAAGTTTTTTTTTAACCACTTAAGGAAATAATGTACTTAGAAAAGAAGCGGAAATGAAAGAAAAGAATACAACTACTGCAGAACTTTCACAAAAAAAACAAGTTTTGGGTTCACAAGAGCCCAAAACTACCACTAAGCAAAGCGGGAGCACGAAGATAGCGTGTGGTCGAGTTACGTGGCAGCGTCTATTACAGAAACCAACATCAATGTCGCTTTATTGCTGGAAGAGGGCTAGCAAAGATTTTTCCGAAAGCCACACACTATATTGAAACCCCCTTATGAATATGATAAATAAACGATCAAGTGCAGGAGCTCCTGCACAGGAGCGAGGACGCTTCTTGTGGAATATAGATACACCACCGCAGCAATGGGAGTAAGTTTCGAGCGTTCCAAAATTGGAATCAATCGGTTCTCGGCTTTGTTATTTATTCCTCGGTCGTCTTTTTCTCGGTAGTTTCCGTTCGCAAGAACGGAAAAAGCAGCATGACGCTCTGTTTCGTGTTGGCTGATTCGCCGGATATATTGATTGATCTTGACAGGCCGTCTACTCGGATAAAGAATCTCTCTGGCTCCAAGAACATGGACGATTTTCTCTTTCAAGATGGCAAGTTCAGAAGCATTAGCTGTGGCTAATGCAACAACTCCCAGATGATCAACTTGTCGTGACGCAGATCTATATTTGCACTAGCTGCACAGAGCATCGTGATATTACGAACGGTGGCGCTCAATAACTGGTCCTCACTACTTGCTAGCAGATCAAGATCTCCGAGCGTGTCCACCAACCGCATCTTACTGTCACCAAGATAGTTTCTCTCAATTTTACTGACCGGATAGGCGGAAAAGATCTCCTCGCTTTAAACTTTACTCTCCCTTGGAAGACTGCTTCTCGAGTTGGAGATCACGCATTTCATTACGCAACGTTCGCTATTGCATGCGATTTAGTGGTCAGCATGATGTGTATTGCCTTGATCTATTGTTAGCCAGACAGAGGACAAGGACTCCGATCTTTTTACAGATGATCTTCATTCTTAGTCGAGGCATAGCTTGCACCGCAGTTGGTTCGCGATCCTGTAGTTCTAGAGTCACGGTGATGTAAGTACTATACCACTCCTGTATCACCGCCTCTCCGTGGCGAAAAAGTTTTTGCGCGGATGAGAGCGTGGCGATAGCAGGCAGCTCCACCAACTGATCGTCCACGATGACATCGTGGCACAACTATTTGCATGAAGAACCTTCCAAGAACTGCACGATGTAATAAAATCTCCCCACAAATATAATCCCCAGGCAATCTTCCTTCGGCATTCTATAGTATAGAACCTGCCATCAACGAAATTATTTCTGTGTTTACTAATTCTATGCCGTAGCAGTCAGCACCTGAATTCGTTTTCGGGCGGCTGCTAGGGTTATAATTTCGAAATCTTCGAAGCACTCTCTTTTACCTGTCTGAATGTAGTAAACTTACGACGAGAATATTTCCTCATCAAAATCTAGAGACCTCCCAAACCGACACTGAGCCCTGTTGTTAAAATATTCTTTCCGCTTCTTTTTATTTTTCCGTTATCACATCTTCATCTACAACAAAGTCGCAGACTAGAAAATAAAGTCCGCCTCTGTTTATCACTTAGTTTTATTTTGTCACAGCAACAAGCCTTGTTTTACGCGAAGCGTAAGATAAGAGCACATAAATCAGGCTTCTAGAGCTTATCAATATTTCACGGTCACAGCGCGACGTCGACCAAAAATATTACATATCACAATACAACTACGGCTGCTTTTCTACTTCTTCCAAGCCTTCTCGCAAGCATCAAAGCGAATTTCCAAGAAATCTCGTTCGGCTTGCGAAGATTCTGGCTTCGGTTGGGAGTGTAAGTAGACACTTTATTTCAACATCGCACGAAGGATTTCTACTACATACAACGAACCACAAGAACTTCTGCTAGAAAATAACTTCAGAAAACTACCCTCCGCCCACATTTTTGTTCTTGTCTCGTTCGATAAAAATACAACATTTCTCTACTACCCGTGTAAAATATTTATATTCCGAACCTTTGTCCCTACTGAAATCTGTTATTTCATCTGTGGGATGCACGAAACAAGCCACAAGATGTCGGGTTCAACGTCTGTGGTATGGCGAGGACAAAAACAAGCGACGTCCGGCACTTCGGGTGGTTCCAAAAAGACCTCTCACCGCAGCAGCTCCATTTATCAACTGCAAATATGTCTGGGTCTGGAAGATTGCTACATTTGTCATGCATGCCTGACATGGCTCAAATATCTGTGATGCATGGGCACGAAGGTGTCCTCTTACCTGTCATGCAAAAACGCAGTTTGCCATGCGGAACACGCAACACATAGGAGCCCAAAAATTTGTCATGCTTGGCTCCGTATTGCAGTGGAACTCTGATTCTTCACTTTTTGCATTACAAGTTTCCAGACCCAGACATATTTGCATTTGATACCATTCGAACAGCCGCAATGCTGTTCTTTCCGGTGCTGCTTGTCTGTATGACTTGCTGAAACGTTACAATCTCAAACGTTACAATCGAATCTAGAACTTGTGTTGCATGATGAGCATGACAGACTCGCACAGCGTGCCACCTTTTGCAATACAAATTTCGCCAGATTGCAGGGGGGTTTTGGGCTCCGGAACTTGTCATGCGCAATCCTATGAGAGTTGGCTAGATCATGCAATCTTGCATCACAGATTTCCATATTCTATTGTACCGTTTGAGATTGTAACACCTGAGCGGGTTATAGTCTGGGAGATGACTTTCGGCGCAGTCCAGCCCGTATCAAATGCAAAAATGTCTGGGTCTGGAAGAGTGTGAACTTGTCATGCAGGTTTGCCATGACCCTTGCTTGAGGTCTGGAATGCGGGACCTAGCATGACAGAGTCTGTATGGTCTCTCTCATGCCTATTCTGCATGAGACACTGCCTCTAAACTTGTTCAAAAGTGGACCTCTTTTGGTAATCATGCAGCACAGATTTTTGCATGATTCGGATTTAGCATGACAAGTTGCAATCTTCCAGACCCAGACACTTTTGCAATCCATAGCCCGTTCTGGCGAACAATGTGTTCCTGGAGAGGATTAAAGGTTTGATCACTCCGGGACGCGAATACTCCGAGCTCTTTGTCAAGGATTTCATCGAAACGTTGAAAGAGACCAGCCAAACGAAGTTGGAGCTCACCGCCGATGGCTCAAAATCCCAGCAAACGCAGACCTGCCCCTTCCTGAAGACGGTCGGGGATCAGAAAGGCGCGCTGTTGAAGACCAACACCTGGCACCGCGGGCGGTATTACCTACCGGTGTTGGATTTGACCGACCCAGAGTTCATCGACAACAGGGAGCAGGATATCCTAAGGAAAAACGTCCCCACCCCAAGGTTGTCATGCTGATTTCCAATGACAGGAATATTTGTGATGCGAACACCCCTGATAGGTATAATTTTCAGTCGTGTTTTGAAATTTGTAATGCTGTAAACAGCAAAAGCACATGGATTTGTCTTGCGGCTTTCCACGCTAAGCTGCACTACTGTCCGAACTGAAATTTGTCATGCGTGACCCCCAAAACTTCAAGGTTTGTGTTGCAAAATCCCCATGTTAGCTCTGGAGTGGCAACGTTTTTACTCAGGATACAAGAGCTGAAAAATTTGGTGAACAAGTACATTTTCCCGGTGTTGCAAGCTTGTCAGGACCTGTTGAATCGCCCCAACGCGCTATGCAACAAAAAAACTGTGTAAGTGTAAATCTGTGATGCAGAAAATGCAAAACAGTTATACTTGTCATGCTCAACATGCATGATCGGCTCGTTTCCTATGTGTTTTCCCTTCCTATCTGCGCATAACAAGTTTTTCCTTTCATTGCAGACAAACTTGTGATGCTGTTTTCCCAAAAGACTTACACGAACACAGTTTTTTTCTTGGATACGCGCACCAGACCATCGGCGAGCAGCGGGTGAAATTTCAGGACAACTCGGCGATCGCGATCAACTTCTTTCAGCCGGTGAAGGAGTTCGCGCGGCTCGCGCCGTTTCTGTCGGATAGGCGGCAGGGCACCTGGAACCTGGTGAACTACGTTTTGACCAGGCGGAAGGATGAGGGGGATAGGGGTGCCGGCGATTCGATGGACTTCGAGAAAACACCACAGTGGAACTGGTCCGTCGAAGTGCTCTTCGATCGCTCAGCCTACTTCAACCAAAACACCGCCGAGTACGTCGGGCACGAGGATGGTGAGCGTGCGGGCCAGAACAAGGAAGACAGCCAAAGCCAGCACTCGTCCTCGTCCCGGCACCCCATTCTGGGTGACTTGGCGACCTCTAACGACTACAAGATCGAGAAATTTTTGAAAGAATCCGAGGGTATCCTTATCCTGAGTAAAAGTGTCCCCATACCAGAGTCAAGATGGGAAATCTGCTAGACAGATCAACCAGCTATGGTTGCTTCCCATGACAAGTTTGTCCTGGTAGTGTAGTCCTGTTTAGCTAGTTCCGAAGCATCACAGATCTAGGATATCATGTTGATTATAGCATCACAAATTTACAATCAAGACTAGGAAATGGCTCTCATGAGGCTCCGCATGAGAAACTTTTTTGGGATGCAAATTTGCATGACAACTCTGGGGTGGGGACGTTTTTCCTTAGGATAATCCTCGAGTCCCACTCCGAAAACAGCGCCGCGGGGCCGAGACTGAAGAATATGCATTGTAAAAGTGTCTGGGTCTGGAAACTTGTGATGCTGGGTGGCGTATCATGAAGAGGCCACAAGTGCTGGCGCAGCATGACAAGCTTTTGAGCTTCTAGGTGTTGCCTATTCGGCATGACAAACTGCGTTTCTGCATGACAGCAAAGTGGGGCTCTTGGGTAACGTCCATGACAGATTTCAGAGTCATGCCAGATAAGCATGACAAACATGCAATCTTCCAGACCCAGACACTTTTGCACTTGATAAAGAACGGCGTGAAAACGCTTTTCGACGTCACCCAGATTCAGCAGGAAGTGCTGGAAAGGCTGCAGCGGAAAGTGAAGAGTGAAAAGACCAAGGCCGCGGAGGAGGGGAAGCCTGAGCCGGTAAGTAAGATTCTGGTACAGGGTGAAATGCAGGGAGGCAAGAGTAAGCCAACCGCAATGACCAGGAGTGGAGCGGGAGAAGGAGCAGGATCTAGTGCACCAACTTTATCCCAGCGTAACTGCCTGCCGCCCCTGTTTGCGAACATTTATGAGAGGAAAAAGCACTCCTGGGTCCCGCGGAAAACGGCCGCCAGCATGGTGCAAGACGAAGACCAAGCGTCGTTGGAGTTATCCTACTCCGGTATCATGTTGCTCCACGCGTTAGGCGCGCGCGCAACGGAATTAT